GGTTTAAACTGTTAAGTTTCGAGGCCTTGAGAATGAATTCTGCAGTTACATGAAGTCGCTGGGTTTGTTATACCGAGAAATTAACGAGTTGACCACCCAAGCTAATTTTAAATTGTGGACTTTATCAGCCCGCGGCTGCCAGGGATATTCACATCCAAATCAAGCAGCCCCCATCAGGGGTTGAGCTAGGGTTTATATAGGGAGTATACAGGACAGGGAGGGGGATGGATCTTTGAAGTCTGGCAAGAGGAAGAGGTTTTTTGGGGGGGGGCTGGTCAAGGACACCCTTCTCCCTCTGTGTAGATATGATAATGCTCTGCAAACTTTCTCACAATGGAGGTTTCCAGAGATATGATCTGAGGGCTGGAGCCTGAGAAGCCAGATAAGGGTCTTGCTAAGGAATTTGGAGTTTTCCATGGCCTAAAGGGTTCTACTACCTAAATGGTAAAATAATGTTCTGCATTACAGGTTCAGGGGAACCCTGATAATGGCTGAGTTAAAAGTTCAAAAACCTGGCCCAGCACAACCTGGGCTGGGGCCTCCCCCGCGGCCTTCCCCACTGCCTCCTCCGCTGTCAGGATCTTTCTTGGAGTCAGGGCTGCCATCGCACCAGGGGCCCTGGATAGGTCTTCTCAGGTAGACGATTGATCCGGGCACGTTTCTCACAGGCAGGTGCTGCAGGCTATCTGGGAGTGCTTCCTCCCCGAATAACACCTGGGAAAGAATCTGCCAGCCACACATCTCCAGGGCGTAATTAAGGTAGATCTGAAGCTGGGAACAAAGGCGATCTAGGTTTATTCGAGATCTTGCTGAATTGGCACTGAACGCAGTGGGTTCGTCAGGGAACACGGGAAAACATGATTCCAGGTCGGAGCTCACGGCACTCAAGATCTGGTGGGCGGCTCGAAGATCTGGGAGAGATAAGTGGCGGGTCCAGCTGCTTGATCTTCGAGCTTCAGCAGGAACCGCCTCTTCGTTATCCCAGGGTAGAGCCAGCACCATCGGCAGGGCTTCTTCTTCCATGGCCTCTGTCTCCGAGTCAAGCTCAAATTCTAGCTTCAACTCTAGCTCTGCATTTACAGAGGATTCTGAGTCTTCTTCCTCTTCCTCCTCCTCTTCCTCCTGCTTGATGGGCTTCGACAACTCGGTGATGGCGCTGATCGCATCGCCATCCTCGTTCACTATCTCCTGGAGCTCCATCTCGCTCACCTCTAGGTCATCTTCCCAGTCATTGTCACAGTCATCGTCATCCAACATGGAGATGTTAGAAGGGGCAGCAGGGGCAGCAGTGGCACCGCAGCCACCCCTCACCTCGGCAATCTTACCGGCTGATGGCAGGGCCTGGGACCCCACCGCCGCACCCTTCGGCAGCACCAACGGAGAGTCTCCCTGAGGGTGGGCGCTGTGGGTGGGCCCCGAAGGCTCTGCACCTGGGGGCACCATAGCCAGATGTCCGTGGGCATCGTGACTGTTTCTTGGATTGGCTACGACAGCATCTGCTGCTGGACACGGCTTCCACGATGGCTTCAGTAATGGCCTCCACACCTCCGATAGCAGCCAAAGCCGACGAGGCAGAAGATGACAACGCCTCCCTTTCTTCACTGCTGTGGCTACTTCTCTGCACAGACAGGTCATGGCAAGTAACGGCGAATTTACCCTCGACCTCGTACCACCTTACTACGAAGGTGAAATTGTGATTGTTCCGCCAAGGGAACAAGTGAGGGCACCCCCCAAAGCAATCAGGTCCCCCACTGGGGGCCTGATCCATAGTGGCTCTGCCTTTGGTAGTTGGCAGGGAGACTGAGAGAATCAGAGTAGATCTGGGCCTAAGCCTATGGCCGGTGGGAGTGCGGATAAAGGCGATCGCCTTGGCTGGCTCCCTCAGCCTCTCTGAACTCTCAGTAACCCAGCCGACCGAAGAACAGGTGCACGAGCTTTGTGTCATCACTCACTGCGTCCCCCACATCACCAGGCAGTTGGTGGGGAGAGGAGGCACGCCTCAAGGGCCAGGGGAAGCAGAGAGAAGGAATGCTTGCAGACTTGGGCGGTCTTTGGTTTTGGGGTCCCTGGAAGTCTAGAAACACGGTAAGGGGAGAGTCAGTGTTTGCTGGTAACCTCAGCACTGCCCAGAGTAAATAATCCTATGTCCATTGCCCATAATAACTGACATTTGCCTACCCCTTCAAGATTTCAAAGGGTTTTCCTTTTCCATACATTGTATCATTTGCTTTGAGTGTGTGCAGAGGCAATTGCTCTAGCAGCTTGGTTACAAAATCAAAGCACATGAAGTTTAGAGGAAGGCCTTTAGAGATATTCTAGGCCAAGCCCACCCCTTTCCCATGTACAGATGGGGAAACTGATTCCCAGAGAGGCTGAATGACTTGCCCAAAGCCACACAACAAAATTCACATGATAGAATTGGGTGGGGGGAAAATCACAAAGTGCACCATTAACATCAAATGTGACTGGATTAAACTCCCCAATGAAATGAAAGAAAATGGCAAGCCAAAACATTAAGACAAACACCCTGTTGGACAAAGAGAGATTGTTTTGGTAGGACAGTTAGATTCTTTAGCTGTCCCTCCTTGAAATCTATACATTGTAAATATTTTTCAAATTGGACCTATTTTTCAAAATATTGTATAAATGGCACTTTGGGGAAATCTTTTCCCTTCTCTGGGCCTCTTTCTATCTCTATAGTGGAAGATGATTGAAATAGATCTCTAATGGTCCTTCCAACTCTGACAGTCTATCATTCTGAGATTTGGGAGGGTTAATAAATTCTTTTTCAAAGCTGTGGGCTTTGAGTACTTCCTTACTGTGTTCCCCTTAGTTACTTTGAAAGGGCAGCATTACGGCAAAGGTCCAATGACCACTACTGATGGGATGTTGTAGATAAGAGGATTCTTGTTCATGCATGGATTGACCTAGATGGCCTCTGAGGTGTCTGACAGCCCAAATTTTAGGATTGGCCTGGCAGGGACCATAGGGTTCATCTAGGCCAGTGGTGTCAAACTCAAATAGGAAAAGGGCCAGTAATCTATATAATATAAGGATCTTTGCAGGCCATATTGACTTAGCTTTAAAATGTAATATTATCTAGGTTTTATTTTGTATTATCTATATATTTTTATATTTTTATTTATTTCATTAAATATTGCCTAATTATCTGGTTTGGGCCCACTGAGAAGCATTCGTGGGCTACATGGGGTCTGCCCAGTGCTTGATGTCTCTGATCTAGGCCAACCCCTTCATTTCACAGAAGAGGAATTTGGAGCTGGGAGAGAGGAAGTGATTTGCCCAAGGTCATATAGGTCATCAAGGGCAAAGAGGACTCTCAAAACTAACTTCTCTGACTCCTAAGGCCATACTAGTTTTGGGTTTTTTTTGGGGGGGTTGGGTTTTTGTTTTTTCAAGGCAATGGGGTTAGGTGACTTGGTCACACAGCTAGTAGGTAACAAGTGTCTGAGGCCAGATTTGAACTCAGGTTCTTCTGACTCCAGGGCCGGTGCTCTATCCACTGTGCCACCTAGCTGCCCCAAGGCCACACTGTTTTACTCTACTGTCTCTTGAGAATAGATGAGAAAACAAAATCTAACCCTTTGCTACATGTGATAAACAGAGCTAAAACATAAAGACATACACAGAGTGAAAATGGGGGAGATAGTGCTGGAAGAAAATGTACCATGCCTTAGACAATTCCAGAAAAGCACGAGTTGCAATCATGATTTCAGAGAGGACAAGAGGCAAAACCAGTAACGTCAAGTGAGATAACCCAGACAAATGCCATTGTGCTGAGAGGTATGGTAGATCATGTAATACCATCTTGATCAAATATACACAGCTGGGGCAGCTAGGTGATGCCACAGTAGATGGAGCACTGGCCCTGGAGTCAGGAAGACCTGAGTTCAAATGTGACCTCAGACACATCACACTCACTAGCTGGGTGACTGTGGGCAAGTCACTTAACCTCAATTGCCTCACCCAAAACAAAACAAATATACACAGCCAATGGCGTGGAGCCTGGTTTCTTAAAGGGAAAGCCAACCAAACGCAAAAAGATCTGTTAAGTGCAGGAAAGCTAAAATCGCACAGTTGGGAGTGAAAAAGATGGGGTCCACTCAGCCATGCTGCTCTTCAAACTAGCCAGATCTTTCTGACTTGGTTCTCTTTTCACGAGAATGTCCAATGTGATCATTGATTTGGCTTTCAAAGGGGCTTGAATTGCCAGGAGTACTCACTCAGCTTGAGGTATTCTCTTCTTGGTAAAATAAAACTGTCAGCATTCTAGCCTCTGAGTCAGTCTCTTGTGAAAGCGGGACAGGGCAGGGCAGTGGGGAATCCTCTGCCAGAGGATGTGAGTTTGAACTCACCTCTGATACTTACTACCTTTGTGACCTTGAACAATTCACTTCTATTTCCTCTTCTGTAAAATGATAAGGTTAAGCTAGTGACCTCTGAACTCCCTACCAGCTCTAGCTCTAGAATCTTAAGATGGTCCCACCCAGACTCATCACTCCAAGACAAACTGATGAAAACTGTTGTTTTTAATTTGCTGACCCAAGGTAGTAGTAGTAATAGGACAAGCCCAGAGCCCAAGTTGAAGCCAACTCTTTGAGCTGCATTGTTATAGATCTTTTTGTGGGGAGGGGGTGTTCTCTCCCCCTGAAGATGTCACGGCAGGCCTGGCCTCTTTCTCTTAAAAAATGTTTAAAAAATAAATTTTTTGCAAGTATTTACCTTTCTTGAAATGAACCCTAGGAAATCTATCCATAAAAGAAATAGAAGCGTCCCCTAGATACCTTATACTGAGTCAACCTGCCAAGACAATGGAAATTTATTTCCTCAAGGGTAGAAAAAAAAACCCATCAGGGAAAACCCCTGTGGTTCTTGTAAAGATGGCTGGCTATTCCACCTGAGCTGATAAAGTTTTGTTCCAAGGAAGAACACTGATTCACTCATTCACGTGATTCATATATGATTCACTTATTCATTCCTAGAAGACTGTTGGGAAGACTTGCATTTTTAAACCCAGATCCCCAACCCAGAAGCAGCATCAGTATTTTGGCCAGGCACTAGATCCTGAAGTCCCTTCACAGAAACCAAGTGGCCTCCCTTGCTCCTCTGCCCAGAGAGAAACTGCAGACCATCCATATCCAATGGGGAACTGGGTGGTTAACCACGGGTTCTCAGCTGTGGCTCTGGTAAGTGGCACTGTTGTCATTTCATTAGAAACACTAACAGGGTAGAGGGGGCCATGTACTTGAAAGTGTTTGATACACTCTTGGTGGGGGAAGATTTGTGGCCCATTCCTGGACTTTCTTGGTGTTCTTTGTAAAGAGAAAGATGTGCATTAGTATGGGCAAATCTGGGGGTGGCCAGAGGGGCAGAGGCAAATACCAGACAAACATCAGTGGAGCCAAATCCTGAATACTTGGGTTTCAGATCTGTCTCTTCTCATATCATTCCCTCCCCCCCCCCCTTTCTTCTTAACCACCTCCAATAGAGTATCTGCTTTTGGTCCTACTCATACTTCTCTCACCAAAGTGTCACCAAAAAAAGGATCTTAGACAATTTCTTTTTCCTTTTTTATCTTTTTTCTCAGTTACTTGTGAGTAAAAATTTTTAACATTCATTTTTTAAAATTTTGAGTTCTAAATTCTCTTCCTCCCCCCCTTTCTCCACCGTGAGAAGGCAAGCAATTTGATATAGATTAAACATGTGCAATAATATAAAACATTTTCCATAGTAGCCATGTTGCAAAAGAAAATACACGCAAAAAAAAACCCCACCAAGAATCATAAAGAAAGCGGGAAAATAGTATGCTTCAGTCTGCACTCAGACTCCATCAGTTCTTTCTTTGGAGATGGATAGCATTTTTCATCATGAGTCCTTTGGAATTGTCTTGGATCATTGTATTGCTGAGAAGAGCTAAGTCATTCATATGATCATCACACAATGTTGCTGTTACTGTGTTCAATGTTCTCCTGGTTCTGCTCACTTCACTTCACATAAATTCAGGTAAGCCTTCCCAGGTTTTTCTGAGAGCATCCTGGTCGACATTTCTTATAGCACAATAGTATTCCATTACATTCATATACCGCAACTTGCTCAGCCATTCCCCAATGGATGGGCATCCTCTCAATTTCCAATTCTTTGCCACCACAAAAAGAGCTGCTATCAATATTTTTGTACATGTGGGTCCTTTTCCTTTTAATTTTATCTCTTTGGGGTATAGAGTATTGTGTTGGTATTTCTGGGTCAAAGGCTATGCACAGTTTTACAGCCCTTTGGGCATAATTCCAAAGTGTTTTTGAGAATGGTTGAATCAGTTCACAGTTCCGCCAACAGTGCATTAGTGTCCCAGTTTTTCCACATTGCCCCCAACATTTGTCACTCTCCTTTTCTGTCATGTTAGCCAATCTGATAGGTATGAGGTTAGTATCTCAGAGTTGTTTTAATTTGCCTTTCTCTAATCAATAATGATTTAGAGCATTTTTTTTCCCTTGTGACTATAGATAGCTTTGATTTCTTCTTCTAAAAACTTCCTGTTAATATCTTTTGACCATTTATCGATTGGGGAATGACTCATGTTCTTATAAATTTGACTCAGTTCCCTATGTATCTCTGAGAAATGAGACCTTTATCAGAGAAACTTGGTGTAATTTTTTCCCCTTGGTTTCCCGCTTTCCTTCTAGTCTTGGCTGCATTTTGTTTGTGCAATGTAATCAAAACTATCCATTTTACATCCCACAATGTTCTCTGTCTCTTGTTTTGTCATAAATTCTTTCCTTTTCCATAAACCATTTCATGCTCCCCTAGCTTGCTTATGATATCACCCTTTATGTCCAAATCATGGACCTATCTTTGACATTTTCAATCCCTTCAGTGCATGGGGAGCGTGAGGCATAGAGCAAGAAGGTGATCTAAGGTCACATAGTCACAGTCAGTGACAGGGCAGGATCTAGAACTTCCAAAGCAACTCTACCACTCATTCCTTCTCCTTTTCATCCACATTTCCCAGCCACCAAGACTTGCTGTCTCCTCTCACAGGCTTCTAAGGGCTTTCCCTCCAATTTCACCACTCCTTATGGGGCCTGCTTAGCTTCTCACTTTCCCTCAGGGTCCCTTAGGACTACTGCTGCAAGGAGGGGACTCCTTGTTGGAAAGCTGATGATTTGGAGAACAGAAGGCCCTACATACATGATGTCTTTACCTGCATGAACACTGTGACTCTATTTCTCCTGGAGTACCCTGAATTTAGACTTACGGCCTTTGGGCCTATGTGTGCCTAGTGTGGAAAGGGCCTTGAGCAGATCTGGATGAAATGAGCAGAACCAAAGGCGGCCCGTCACAATTTCAGGGAAAAACCTCACTGAGCAAGCCAAACTCTGAATAATTGAAAGTAATGGTATGGGAGAGCAGACAATGAAATATGTTGGTGCTCACAGTCACATGAGCTCACTTGACTGGGTTTGGTTTTTTTTTTTTTGGTTTGTTTGTTTGTTAAAAGGGAGGTCTTAATTCTCAGGGTGAGAGATGAGGAGGGGGAGATGTTTCCCAAAATGCCGGTGATGGAAAAACAAAACGCATCAATAAAAACTTATTTCTTTTCTAAAGCCAAAGAAAGATCCCTGACCTAGGAGTCAGGAGGCTTATTCCAGTTCCTGCACTGGCTGACTGTGGGACCTTGGATAAATCATTTCCCCTTTCTGTTACTCCTCGTTTATCCCCTCACTGTTGCCATCTGTAAAATGGGGTAGTTACACTGAGGGCCAGTCCACCTCTGACATTCTCTGACTCTCCTTTCTATCCTGCTCTTCAACTCGTATCAATCTAATACCTCTGGCAATGTGCATCCATACTACTCTTCAGGCAAAAAATTGGACACCCTTGACAGTATCATCCCTTCCACCTCTGTAAAGGTCAAAGGTGACTCTCCAGTCTCCTTCTCTCCCTTTCTTCCTTCTTGACTAGAGACCGAGTCCTGGAGCACATGACTAATTTACTTGGGGACCTCTACAAAGCCTGACCTTCTTTGGTGGTTGGTATACATTGTTGGTGTTTGGCAAATTCCTAATAATAAAAAAGATGGTGAGAGTGATTGAACACCTGTGATTTCATTGGCATAGGGACCTCCCAGATGAGGAAACTCTCTCTCCCAATACAGGACTCTGTACGACTTAAAGTCTTGGAGAATTGCTTGGAATGCCAAGAGGTTAAGAGATTTCCTTGTCCACAGGCACAATCCACAGATATTAGTGGTAAGCTGCCCGTAGGCCCGGAGCTCTATCCTCTGTGCCACCTAGCTGCCTCATAATAATACCAATAATAATAAAGCAGTTTTTTTTATCATCAGGACGTTGACAAACATCCGTAAACACAAGCATTCCTGTATGCAAAGAAAGATAGAAAAAAAGCAGTGTCTATGAAAAGGGGAATCACCAACCAGTACCTCCAGCTTGGTGTTTTATTTAAGCATATGTTGAATTTAACACAGTCGTCCTGCTTGCATCTTTCTGAACTCTCTTCTGCTCTCTTTTGTGTAGATTTTAAGGTTGAATTTTTATTTTTTCAATTCATAAAATTTTCTTGCCTCTCCCTCCCATGCCCTCACTGACAAAAAGGAAGACAGAAAATGAAATCCTTGTAATCAGGCAAAAAAAATCCCTCCAAATGTGTGGCTCACTCTGGAGCTTAAGTCCTTCACCTCTTGGTCAGGAAGTGGGTAGCAGGGAAAGCAATTTATATAATTACATCATTGCAAAGATAAACAATTGGAAAAACTAAGCCCATTTATCATTGCAATGACTAACTCTGATTTGTCTGTGGGTTGGTTTTTTTTTTTTGTGTGTGAGGCAATTGGGGTTAAGTGACTTGCCCAGGGTCACACAGCTAGTAAGTATTAAGTGTTTGGTCTGAGGCCGCATTTGAACTCGGGTCCTCCTGACTTCACGGCCGGTGCTCTGTCCACTGCACCACCTAGCTGCCACTTGTCTGTGTATTTTTACAATATCTCACTGATGCTCTATTTTTTTGCTGGGGAGAGGTCACCACTATCAGTACCCCTCCATTTCCCCTCTTGGTTTGGTTGGTAGTCCTTGTGGGGGGAGATGGAGGCATGGGACTGAGGAGGAATTAGAGCCCCTGCGAGGCCAGTGGCATAGGAGAGGTTGATTGGTATGGCCTGTGTCCTTACTTCCAGTGGTCAGTACAAATCTAACTTGGCTCTGGGGAATGTGGTGGGAATCTGTTGGAGAGTGGAGGTTAGGTCTGGAAAGAAGAAGGAAATGGGCACTTTCCAGTGTGCCCTGCACTGTACTAAGCACTTTACAACCAACCTGTAAGATAAGCAGTGTTATCACTCTCATTTGACAGATGAGGAAACTGAGGCAGACAGAAGGGAAATGACTCATGAGGCCTCATTTGAACTCAGATCTTCCTGAGTGTTCTACCTGCTAGCCTCCTGGGTGTCCTCCTGGACACGCTCTCCAATATTCCTAGGCCAAGCACCTCTGGGATCACTCTCATATTGCCTGGAGATTTGAAATTAACGTGGCCCTGCCCAAAATCCAGGGAATGAGCTGAGGGGCAAGGCAGGGCCCACTGCATTGCAGGCCCACAACTACATAGGCAAGCCAGAGCCCAGTGATCTTCACGGATACCAGTCATGCATAGTTCCCTTTGCCAATGTAGGTACTGGCTGATTAGCAAGGCCTGGAGCTCACGGTCACTAAAGAAAATAAATCGAGTAATAATAGACTTGTTAAAAAAAAAAGTATACACACACACACACACACACACACACACACAGAGGAGAATGTGCATCAGAATGTGGTGGGCGGATCCATCAGCAATACTTTAGTGTTCAGGTGGTGAATGAAGTCTTTGTTTCTGTAGAAATCCAACTATTTATTACAGATATTGGAAAGAGTTAATGTGTTACCCTAAGCTGCTCGTTTTTGAAGGATTACTTAAAGCCCCTCTTTTAAAAATCATGACATTTTTATTTTTTATTTTTTAAATTCTTTGTTATGCTTTCTGAGTCTTATGGTAACCCTCTGAGATAGGTAACACCTCCAGGCGTTATTATCCCCATTTTACAGATGAGGAAACCAAAGCTGGAATGTTAAGAGACTTGTCCAAGGTCACATAGATGGAAAGGGTGTCAGAGGCAGGATTCGAACCCAAGTCTGCCTGACTCTAAGCCTCTACCTAATGACCTGCTCTGTACAATTTCACCCTTTGAAAATGAAGGCAGGCACATGTAAAGCACTTGGAATGGATACACCGTTCCTTCTCCTTTTTAGCCCTGGATTCCCATTTCAGCCTCTGCCTGCTTTGCTTCTTTGTTTTTTCTCCCTTCTCCAGGTTGTTTGGCTGGGGCTAAACGTTTTCCTGTTTGTGTATGCTTTCCTGACGTTTGAGAAGTCGGACAAATACTACTACACCAGAGAAATCATTGGGGTAAATGGCAAGATCCCAGGAGAGGGCCCAAGGGCTGTGGCCACCAAGGCTGAGGAGCCTCACTACTCACAGGCATCTAGATACCTCCCCCAAAACCCAGGCGACCCATTCAGTGAGGGGTTCTTTGGCTGGGCCAACTCCTGTGTTCCCCCTGCTCTAATTGTGGCACAATCCCCCTGGACCTCATAGGTAACTCCTCCATGACTACGTGGAATGTAAGCACTTTGAGGACAGGGGCAATTCCAGCACCAGGAACAGTCCCTCATGTATCTTTCCGTATTTCAAGGATCTGATATTTTGTCTGTCAATTAATCAGTAAGCACTGATGAAACACCCTATACGCAACCCCTTTCTGGCTTGGTATGTATCATATATTTTGCCCTAGAAGGAACCTTAGCAATTATTTAACCCACCCCCCGCCTTTTATAGATGAGGAAAGTGAGGCCCAGAGAGGGGAACACATTGCCCAAGCTCTCACAGGTAGTAAGTGGCAGGGCCAGGATTTGAACCCAGATCCTCTGACTCTCAATGTGGAGCTCTTTCTACCAGTCAGTCAGTCAATAAGCATTTATTAAGTGCCTGCTATGTGTCAGGAACAGTGCTAAACCCCATCATCAATTCCTGTGGATGAAAAATTCTTCCACCTACAGATGAACTTCTCTGCTCTTCGCTGGTCTGGTCCTCGGATAACAGACACTAGGCTGTTACTGAGCCTCTACTGTCACTCATTCAGTCAATGAACCAGCATTTATTAAGCACTTACTATGTGCTAGGCACTGTGCTAAGTTAGAGGGATACAGAAAAAAGACCAAAAACAAGGTTCCTGCCCTCGAGGAGCTTATATTCTAATGGAGAGACAACAAGCAAATAATTAGCCACATATAAGATATTTAAAGTAGACCAAAGGTAATCTTAGAGGGGAAGGCTCTAGCATCTGGGGGATGGAGGCAGAGGTGAGGGGGCAGGACATTTGGGGCCTGGGGGATAGTTTGTATAATGATACAAAGATATTAAGAGATGGAGTGTCATGTGAGGACATTTGACAAGTAGTCCAATGGCACTAGCTCATGTGGTACATGGTGAGGAGTAAGGTGCTGGAAGACGGGAAAGGTAGAAGGGGGGCTGGTTAGGAAGACTGTAATTTATTTTTAAATAGTTTTTAAATTTTCAGTTCCGATCTCTCTCCCTCCATCCTCTCCCCAACCCATTGAGATGGTAAGTATGTAGGATACCAATTACACATATGAAGTCATGGAAAACATTTCCCCATCAGCTGTGTTGTGAGAAAAAAAGCAAGAAAAAGAAAGAAAGAAAGAAAAATCCACTTGAGTGTGCACTCAGAGTCCCTCAGTTCCCTCTCTGGAGGACTTTGGATTCCCATGGATCACTGTACTGCTCAGGGTAGCCAAGTTTTTACGAAGACTTCAATTCCAAACCAAGGACAGGAGATAATAGGGAGCCAGTGGAACTCATTGAACAGGGAGGGGCGTCCAATATGGTCAGATCGACACCTTTGGAAAAATATCTTGGTAGGTGAGTGGAGAATGGACTGAAGTGGGGAGAGATTTGAAACAAGGGGACCAACTTGAAGGCTATTGCTGATGAGGACCCGAGTTAGAAGCTTGTGGTTGTGCCAGAGGTGAGAAGGGAGTGTGTTTGAGAGACGTTGTGAAGGTAGAACAGAACTTGGCAATAGATTGGACATAGAGGGTTAGAGAGAGCAAGGAATCCGGGGTGTTCCCTAGGTTGGGAGCCTGGGTAACTAGAAAGGATGGTGGTGTCCTCAACGTTTCAGAGCAAAGATGATGAGTCCTGTTTTGGTCATGTTAAGTTTGAGAAGTCTACGGGAGATCCAGTTCCGAGATGTCCAAGAGGCACTTGGTGATATGGGAGTGGAGTGGCTAGGAGACTGTTGTTCAGTCGTGTCTGACTCTCCGTGACCCCAGCTAGAGTTTTCTTGGCAGAGATACTGGAGTGATTTGCCATTTCCTGCTCCAGCTCATTTTACAGATGAGGAAACTGAGGCCAACAGGGTGAAGTAACTTGGCCAGGGTCACACAGCTAGGCAGAGTCTGAGACTGGATTTGAACTCAGGTCTTCCAGACTCTAGGCCCAGAGTTCTATCTACTACAGTGGCCCCAGGAGAGAGATTAGGGCTGTATTTATAGATCTAGAAGTCACCTGCATAGACATGATAATTGAACCCTTGGGAGCTGATTAGATCACCAAATGAGATAGTCTAGACCAGGGGTGGGGAACCTGTGGCCCTCTAGGTCCTCAAGTGCGGCCTTTTGAGTGAGTCCAAGTTTTACAGAACAAATCTTTTTATTAAGGGGATTTGTTCCTTGAATTTGGAGTCAGTCACAGGGCCGCACTTGAGGACCTAGAGGGCCACAGGTTCCCCACCCCTGCTCTAGACCAGAAGTGTTAAACTCACAGCTCACAATGCTCCACAGGTGAAACCAAATTCAAATGTAATTGGGAAATATTTAGCAAAACAAATAAAAATACAACAGAACATAGATAACATAAATATGTAGTTTTCTAAGTCAATTTAGGTATCCTTACTTACAACCCCTTTTCTATTTGAGTTTGATGCCAATGGCTAGACTATCTATACAATGGAAAGAAGAGAAGAGGACCCAGGACTGAGCTTTGGCTGAGAGGATGGGAAGTTCTGAAACAAATGCAGTGGGGAGCGGGATAGTGGGTATGAACTGGATGAAGAGCCAGCAAAGGAAACTGAGGCACGGTCAGACAGGTGGGAGAACCAGGGGACATCGGTGTCATGAAAATCTAGAGAGAAGAAGGTGAACCACAGTGTCAGAAGTTGCAGAGAGGTCTGAAGGTTAAGGACTGGGAAAAGGCCATTCGATTTGGCCGTTAAAAGATCACTGGATCCACAACAGTTCCAAAGAACTCATGCTGAAAAAAGCTGTCCACTTCCAGAGAGAGAGCCAATGAGCCCTGAGTGCAGAGTGAAGCAGATTGTTTTTCCACTTTTATTTTTCTTTCATTTTTTCACAGTGTGGGTAATGTGGAAATATGTTTGTGTGGCTTCATATGTATAATGGGTATCGTATTTCTCGCCTTCTCAGTGGGGTGTGGAGGCGGTAGAGGGAGGGAGAGAATTGGGAAATGAAAGTAAAAATCAAAAGAGAGAGATCATAACTTTGGAAAAAGCCGTTTCAGTTGAACGAGGGGGGTCAGAAACTAGATTGTGAAGGGTTTCAAAGAGAGTGGGAGGAAAGGAATTGAAAGCCTTGGGTGTAGATGGCTTTCTGAAGTTCAGCTGAGAAGGGCAGGAGAAATACAGGATAACAGCCAGCGGGATACAGGAAACATAGACATGTTTGTAGGTAGCAGGGAAAGAGCCGGTGCAGAGGGAGAAATCAAAGGAGAGACAGAGACAGAGAGACAGAGGAAAAGAGAGAGATGGAGAGATGGGAGGGGGGAGAGAGACAGGAAGAGAGTCAGAGAGACAGAGAGGAAGAGAGAGACAGAGACAGAGAGGGAGGGAGAGAGGGGGCAATCTGCTGGAGAACAAGACAAGGTAGAATGGGGTCAAGTGAGTATATAGAGGGGTTTGGCTTGGCAAGAAGGGCCACCTCTTCTTGTGAGACTGGAGTGAAGGAGGAAATTGTGGGGGAAGACATGATTGATGTGAGATGAGGAGACGGGGAGAAGAGGGACGTCTCAGTGAATGGCTTCAATTTTTTCAGTGAAGTATGAGGCAAAGTCCTCAGCTTGGGGTGGGAGGGGGAGTGCCTTGGGAGTCTTGAGGATGGCATAAAAAAGTTTGTATTGCACGCTCTACAATCCGCTTGAGTCCAATTTCTTTGGTACTGATATTAATAAGTGGGATATCTCTGTTGAGTTCAAAGGCAAGGAAGTCTAGCAGCTGTGGTGAATAGGAGTTAATTAATTGGGAAGGTGTCAAAGTATGGTCTTGCTGCAGTCAGGACCCAGCTGAAAATATGGAACAGCAGAATTTTGTGATTTTCTGCTGCGCCTTTGGGTGGCACACAAATAGGAGTGAAGATGGTGGGTGGTGGGAGTAATCCAAGTAATCCAAGGAGTGACAGGCAGTAAGAAAAGGGACTAGGGATTTAAGGGTAGGGTTGGCCTGATTCACCAAAGGGTCAAGGTAGAGAAGGGAGGAGGGTGAAGTCAACGCAGAGCTGATGGTCCAGGAAAGAACTGAGGAGTGGAGCAACTACAGATCTTGGTGAGGACCAAGAGGAGGGCCAGAGAGAAAGTTGGAAAGATAAAAGATTACGATCAAATAAGAGAATTTCAACATTCATGACCATGGTAGATCAAGGGTATGGCCATCTGTGTGTGTAGCTGAGACAGAGTGGAGGAAGAGGTCGTGGGAGATGAGAAGGTTGAGCTGAATGGAGGCAGCAGCTGCAGCTGGCAGGGACAGATGACGATGTCTGCACTAGGTAGCCAGCCCTTCCCTAGGGTTTGCGTTCACTGGGCCCCCCCTTCTCCCTCGAGCATTTAGGGTTAGCAATGAAATCATTGATTGTACCTAGTATCTGGTAGAACAGGTTCGTTGAGATTCAAGCACGTCCAGGTAGGAGGGGCCCAGGATCTGCCCCCCCCGCCCCGCCAGGTTTCATTGCCTTTGAATTCAATAGCACCATCTTATTCATTGATATCAATATCAAAGAAATTGAAGTAAGACAGATTGTAGCTCGAGTGCATGCCAGATTATTGGGCTCTTTCCTAGATTCCTACCGATTATATTTTGATTTTCCTGCAGGGTTTTAAGGCTTTTTTCCTATAGACAGCACTCTGCAGTTTGCCCTCACTATTGGATGAATGACCTTCAGGGACTGCATTGATTTCTCCCACCCCCACTGACACACGGAATAATCCCTTGTGTTTACAGTGCTTGGCCCAAAAGGGCTTAGCAAAGAGATGGGTTTCTTCCTTTCATTCATTCATTCAAATATGTTGTCTACCCATCAGAATGTAACCTCCTGCTTATTAATAGTGTCTACCCAGGCCAGGGCCCTGAAAGAAAGTAATTTTTCTTCTTTCTTTCTCCTGCTTCTCCACCTCCTCCTCCTCCTCCCCCCTTCTCTTCCTCCCCAGTCTTCACTAGCATGGGCTCGGGCCTCTGCTCGCTGCCTGAACTTTAACAGTCTCTTGATACTGCTCCCTGTGTGCCGGAATCTGCTCTCATTCCTAAGGGGCAGCTGCTTGGTGAGCCATGAACCTTTTGGGGCCCAAACCTCAGCTCAGAGCTGGCTCCTCACCTTCACAGAGGCCCTGTGCGGGGGTGGGCTCATGATCCTGGAAGGAGCTCAGGGAGACTTGGGGTGGTGGGGGGCCCCATGGAGCTGCAGGAGGCTGATATGATGGCCCCCCCCTTCCCTCTCCCCAGTGCTGCAGGCGTACATTGAGGAAGCAATTGGATCACAACCTCACCTTCCATAAGCTGGTGGCCTACATGATCTGCCTGCACACAGGTAACTCAGGCAGACAGAAAGGAACTGGAAGGCTTCCCCTTGGAGGCCACGTAGTCCAGCTCCTTCACTTTAGCAGTGAGTAAACTGAGGCCTAGCATGATGGAGTGACTCGGTCAGGCCATGGGCCTGTGGCACACAGCAATTACAATTCCACAGTCCACATTTTCTACCACCGAGAAAGTCCCAAGTCATGTTATATGGAAATAGATTTAAGAGCCACTGAATTCCCCTCCTGATACTAGAAAATTCAGCAGTGGGAAAGGCCACAAGAATTTCTCTGTGTTTTGTAATAGGCACTCATTAGCCTGGGATCCTGGCTAGGACACTGGACTTGTGCTTAAAGCCTGAGTTCCAAGGCTGAGATTCAAACCCAGGTCCTCTGATTACATTGCCCCACACCGGAGCATCTGCTTACCCAGAACTTCAGGACCCCAAGGGTTGGCCAAGAAGAGCCTGCATTTCTCTAGGACACTATACCTGTTAGAATGTGACTGCAGATACTACTCTTGGGCAAGGGTGACCCTGGGCAAATCCTTTAACTGCTCTAAATCTATGATCCCATGACCCCAATCAACAATTACTTAACAAGCACCTACTGAGTGCCTCCTATGTGCCCGGCATTGTGCTGGCACTGGACCTTTCCAGGGCCTGCAATGGCTTCCCAGAGCCTTCCCTGCCCCATCTGTCTCTCCTTTTTCTGTTTAGTCATCCACATTGGTGCTCACCTGTTCAATTTTGAACGGTACAGCAGGAGCTGCAAGGCTGATAACAAGTCTCTGGCCTTCACCCTCTCTACCCTGTACCCCCATGAGAAGGGCAGCCCGTGGCTAAATCCCTTCCCCTCCCCAAACATGGTAAGTAGCTCCAGTGGCCAAGCATCCAGGCTCCTGGGATGGGTGGTACGGGCTGGGGGTGTCCACATAGCCATTGCCACAGACTGTTTCTTTTTCCTTCTGACGGTAGACAGCAGAGCGCTTGACCTTCACCAGCATCGCTGGCCTCACTGGAGTGATCATCACCTTAGCCCTGATCCTCATGGTGACCTCAGCCACAGAGCTTGTCCGCCGGTGCTACTTCGAGGTGTTTTGGTACACTCACCACCTCTTTGTCTTCTACTTCATTGGTCTGGTAATTCATGGAATTGGGTAAGTCCCTGGATGCCTGCCCTCCCCACCTCCCCACTCCCTGCCTTATCTCATCCTCTGGCTAAACCATTTCTCTTTGTGTGTCTCAGGGGGATTGTCCGAGGTCAAACAGAAGACAGCATGAAAGAACACCCCCACAGCAAGTGTGCAGAGGAGTATGACAAGTGGGGTGAGCCCTTACACTGTAAACGTCCCCAGTTTGAAGGGCTGCCTGCTGAGGTAAGGACCTCATGACATCAGAGAGTTGGAAGGGGTGGCATAGTGGATAGAGCCCTGGGCTGGGAGCCAGGAAAACCTGGGTTCAAATATCAGTTCTATCACTTACTACTTGTTTGACCATGCGCAAGTCACTTAACTACTCTGGGCCTTGGTTTCCCTTTAAAAAAAAAAGGAAATTGGCTTTGGTGGTTTTAAGGTCCCCTTTGGCTCTAAATCTCTGACCCTATGAACTTGAGCTTAAGTGGCCCTCTGAGCCTTGGTTTCCTCATCTATAAGATAGGAATAATAATACTCATGTTGCCTGCCTGGGTAGGATTGGGTTTGGGTGGGGGGGTCAAATAATATAATGTACTTTGTGAAATTTAAAATGTTCTCCACGTGTCAGCTCCTATGTAGTCCAACTCCCTTATCTGACAGAGGAAGAAACTGAGGCCCAGAGAGGTTAGGCCAGGGGTGGGGAACCTGTGGTCTCAAGGCCACATGTGGCCCTCTAGGTCCTCAAGTGTGGCCCTTTGAGTGAATCCAAACTTCACAGAACAAATCCCCTTCATAAAAGGATTCGTTTTATAAAACTTAGACTCAGTCAAAAGGCCACACCCGAAGATGCAGAAGGCCACATGTGGCCTCGAGGCCCCTATTCCCCACCCCTGGGTTAGGCAGTTTGGCCCAGATCACAAAGGTAGTCCAGAGCAGAGCCTCCATACTGGCTGTTGTAAATTTCCGCAACACACAGCTGAACAGCCTGACTGGCCAGCCTGACTGCGGAAGAAGTGAGGATGCTTCAGAACCGGACAGGATACAGAAGCTCCATGTGGCTAGCACAGCCAGGTGGCAAACCTCCAAAGCTCCTATCAGGGGAAGCTGCTGACTTAAGAAGAGTGTTGCACTCTGGGAGAAGGGAGGCTGAATCCTGGATTCCAGCCCCAGCTCGGCCACTTCCTAGCTGGACAGGTCATGACCCTTAGTTAGGTCTCATTCGCCTCACCTTTAAAACAAAGGAATCGGGTTTGCAGATCCTCTGGTTCCCTGAATCAAGGACACATTCATAGTCTTGGCAAATATTTACTGAGTGCTTTGAGCAAATATAACATTGCCAGGCCTTGGCTGGGGAGGGGGGATACCCCAAGAACTATGGTACATGATCCCTTCTCTCAAAGGAGGAGCAATCTAAGTCCTAGATTCTAGGAGATTCTCACAAGGAAGGGTCCTAAGGAGGCAGAAAATAGGAATCTTCAACTCATCGTAGCAACAGCTTCTGGGACTACCCTCTGAAGGTAGAGAGGGTGACATCTCTTCCATAGCAGAATCCCATTCAAATTTCCAGAATTAGCAACTGGAGGTGAGATTTTCTTTAAGCATCATGTATAGGAACATTCTTTGGGAACTCTATATCAATTGCAACTGTTCACACACTAGATTGGACTAATTGCAGTGGGGACAGTAATAACTAAGGCTAGCAGGAAGCGCCCAGAACCCCTTGAATTGTGCTTTGTTCTCAAGGGCAAGGAGTAGGAGTTCAATGGCGGGGTGGGGAGTGAGCTTCCAAATTCCATCCTGGTGACTCCAACATTAGAACAGCTACAGTATAGAACAGGAGCAGTAATCTATGAGATCAGATAGGCTACCAAGCTAATGGTATCCCAGGTCCTGGGCTTTATCTTTATTAGCTCATAAAGATTAAAGATTGAAGGATGAAAAGCAAAGAGTGGCCCCACAAAGTGGCCTGAGAATGAATGACTGCTTTGAATCAAAAACACAGAAAATAAAAGATCAAAAGAAATCTCTCTGGAGAGCAATGTCGTAGTCCTCCCCTACAAAGGTGGAAGAAGAAGCAGAATTAAAGGAATACCTCTGGCATGGATTACTAAGAAAGCAAAAGCAAAATGCACCTATTCTGCCCATTAATCTTAATGCCTCCCCTCTGACACTTCCCTAGTTTATCTCGTCTATAGCTCATTTGAATGTAATTGCTCAAATATTGTCTCCCCATTAGACAGTGAGCTCTTTGAAAGCAGGGACTGTCTTTTGCCTTTCTTTGCATCCCTAGCACTTAGCACAGTGCCCAGCACGTGGTAGGCACTTACTAAAGGGTAGTTGACTGACTCACACATTTCTGCATTGTGTTTTCCATCATCCATCTGACTCAAGAGTTGGGGGATATACTATTTGAGTAGCAGGAATTTGTGAACCCCACTCCTTGACTCCATGTCAGAAGAGAAAGCTCAGTCCCTCTGGTGTCAAAACAAACTTCCTCTGACACCATCCTCAAGAGTCAACCTCTGAGGGGCAGCCAGGTGGTGCAGTGGATAGAGCACTGGCCCTGGAGTCAGGAGGACCTGAGTTCCAATCTGGCCTCAGACCAGACACTTGACACTTACTAGTCGTGTGACCCTGGGCAAGTCACTTAACACTGATTACCTAAAAAGGAAAAAAAAGAGTCAACTTCTGATCATAACTGGAATGCCCAGCCTTGGCCCCAGAGAAGAGATGAGCAAATGGGTTCCCCTCCTTTCTTTGGAGAAAGGAAGAGGCAGGATACCATGGGTGCAGAATGTGACTTACCTTGTCAGTTACTGTTTTTCTTTGTTACAAGGGCCCTTAACCTTTCTGGGCCTCAGTTTCCTCCTCTGTACTGGGTAACTCAAATCTCTTTTAGCTGTAGATCCCTGGTTCTATGACTTACTGGGGTAGGGATGAAAATAAATGGCGGGATATCTAGAAGTAACCAGTGTAAAAATAAAAGGCATCCATGAAACCGTGTCATTGTTGTTGAAAAACCCGGTGCCTGGGGTCTTATAGGCAAAGGTCTGAGCTAATGATGCCAGCAAGTGGGATGGTGGTGATGAATGCTTGGCAGTTCCTGTGTACCGTCTATGGCGTGGGATTCACACGGCCCGTCTGAGCTGTGCTCTGTAGAGGCACTTCTAAAGACTTCTTTAAGAGAAAGCTCAGGGGGCAGCTAGGTGGAGCAGTGGATGGAGCTCCAGCCTTGGAGTCAGGGGGACCTGAGCTCACATCTGGCCACAGACACTTGATACTTACTAGCTGTGTGACTCTGGGCAAGTCACTTAACCCTGATTGCATTACCAAAAAAAGCACACACAAAAAAGAGAAAGCTCAATGAGATTGCATGGGGAGGGCAGGAAAAGGTGGGGTATTTGACATTGGTGTTTTGGGGAGATAATCCCTCAGTCTCCAAAGAATAGGAGGATTGATGGTGACAGTATGGAGTACTGAGCTTGGAGTGGTCAACTAGCAGTCAGAGGACCTGGGTTCAAATGCCTGTTCTGCCATTGACCATGATCTTCCATAAAATGCTGTCAGAGACTGGAAAAAGAGAGGGGCCATCACTTAGCCAGAGTAATGAAGCACTGTGGGCTCGCCTGTATGTTCCACTGGGATCCTTGAAAAGCCAAGAGAACCAATGCAAGGTGCCTGGCATGTTGCCCCCCCCTCCCCCCTCCCCGGCCACAGGAGACTTCTGGAAGGACAGAAACAAGAGCTACACAGGAGGGGCAGGCATGGATGGCTTTGAGAGAACATCTCGGTCAATGCTGGAGTAGATGTCATTGTCATTTTACACGAGGTCATGTTGTTCTGCTCCCCATCTCACAGCTGTTGGGTTTTTGCATTAGGCTAACTGTACTAACCAGCAGTCTGAAACACAGAAAATTCAATATGCAGTGTGTAGCTGTGACATGCTAGGCCTATAGTTGTGTTTTGCTACTTAGCCAGACTGTTAAACCTGCAGGAAATTATCTGCTTTATGTGTAACAGATGAGTGAGGAAAATGGCTGGCATTTCTTTCCTTCTCTTTTCCTTTAATGGAGGGACTAGGGCTCTGCTTAGATGTTGGGGTTCATAGGGGGAGCATCGGGCTGCTGGAGAATTAATACCAAGTTGCCAGTCGGTATGTAACAATCTGCCTTCTGCCCCTGTCTCCATATAGTCCTGGAAATGGGTTCTAGCCCCAGCCATCCTATACATCTTTGAACGGCTCATCCGGTTTTACCGCTCACAGCAGAAAGTGGTGATTACCAAGGTAAGGGATGGGAGGTTGGCTCCTCCTTTGACACTAAGGGCTGGCTGGCCTCCCTGCCTACCTAAAGAAATTACCTTGTGTTTTGTCCCTGAGAGATGCAGTCTTGAAGGGAGCTAGATTCTGGGCACTAGGCATGCCTCAGTGCTTCTAGTCCTGCACAGAATCAGGGAAAGAGTAGTGGGGTGAATACACTCATGGTGTCCATGTACTTCTCTCCCAGGCCATCCTGCACCCTTCCAAAGTACTGGAGCTTCAGATGAACAAGTGTGGTTTCCGAATGGAAGTGGGACAGTATATCTTCGTCAATTGCCCCTCAGTGTCTCCCTTGGAGTGGCACCCTTTCACCTTGACCTCAGCACCTGAGGAACCTTTTTTCTCTATCCATATTCGGGCAGCAGGGGACTGGACAGAGAGTCTTATAAAGGCATGTGAACAACAGAATTCCCCATTGCCCAGGTATGGTCTAGAAAGCAGCCGAAGGGGCAGCTAGATGGCACAGTGGATAGAGCACTGGCCCTGAAGTCAGGAGGACCCGAGTTCAAATCCGGCCTCAGACCAAACACTTGACACTTACTAGTTGTGTGACCCTGGGCAAGTCACTTAACCCCAATTGCCTAAAAAAAAAGCCCCCCAAAACAAAATAAAACAAACAAATTAAAAAAAGAAAGCAGCCGAGATCCAAGAAATGGGCAAAGATAAGGGTAGCTTGGCAAACAAGTCCAGAAAACTCCTAGGGGTCTCTAAAATTCCAGGCCATCTGCTCTACTACAAACAAAGCTGCAGGAAGCAAGTAAGGGAGCCCTCAGACTAGAACTTCCTCTGAGCCATTTTCTTTTTACTCTTGCCAGGCTGGAAGTAGATGGTCCCTTTGGCACAGCCAGTGAGGATGTTTTTCAGTATGAAGTGGCTATGTTGGTGGGAGCAGGAATTGGGGTCACCCCCTTTGCCTCCATCCTGAAATCCATTTGGTACAAGTTTCGACATGCGGACCACACCCTCAAAACCAAAACGGTAATCATACTTTTTGAACACCCCTCAAGGGTATGAGCTGCTCCCAACATGGACCTTCTGTGAGGGTCAGTCCCCTGGGCCTGACTTGTGGGCAAACAGTTAGTCACTTCAGGGTTAACAAGCATTACCAAGCACTGTGTGTGTGAGGCACTGTGTCAATGGCTGGGAGAGTGACTGCTTCCTTGGAAGTAATTGGAAGTGAGGATAACAGGGGAGCAGACAGACTCTTATAAGGGCATTTGAACAACAGAAATCCCCAGTGCCCAAGTATGGTCTGGAAAGCAGCTGAGACCCAAGAAAATGGGCAAATACACAGCAGCCTGGCAAGTGGGCATCTAGCCACCAGAGAACCAGAGTCAACTGCGTCATTGCCATGATGGTCTTCATCTCTAAACCAGACATCACTGAAGGCTTCTCTGAACACCATGGGAAGCTGTTTCAGGACTCCTTAGAAAGTCAAGCAGTCAGCAGTGAAAGCTGGACTTTGCCCAGGTGGCCCTTAGAAGCCCTCTTGATGATATATCTAACATGTTCACCAAGGCACACATAGGATAAGGTGTTCTCTCTTGTGGGTTCCAGATTTATTTCTACTGGATCTGCAGGGAAACTGGTGCTTTTGCCTGGTTCAATGACCTGCTGGCTTCCCTGGAACGAGAGATGGAAGAGTGTGGAAAAGTGGGTTTCTTAAACTATAGGCTCTTCCTCACCGGGTGGGACAGCAACATTGTGAGTTCCCAACATTCTTTTTAATTGAATTTTTATCGATGCCTTTTGGTTTTACATTAGGTATCCTCCCCTTCCCCGACCCCCAGCCCTGTGAGCCTTCGCTTGTGGCAAAAAAGGAAGCAAAACCAACCAATTATTGCATGTGACATCAACATTCCAGCCCTGTAGTCCCCCACCTCTCTAACAAAAGGAGCTAGATGCATATCCTCATCTTTGCTCAGGGCCCAGGCTGGGCCTGACAATTACCCAGCATTCAGTTCTCTTCAGTAATTATTTTTATTTGCATTGTTGCAGCGAGGAGTATGTTGCCAGCATCTATTTTGAATAGTAGATGTATTCCCTCTCATCTTAGAGAGAGGCACACTGATTGGAAATAGAGTCTTCATGAAAGGTTTCATCCACAGAGCATGCAGGCAGGGGGCTGAATTCATTGAGAGAACAGATTGATTCAGTGCCTACCCCTTGTGATGTCCTGGGCTGAGGACTGAGCCACAGCCCCTCGATCCATTCAAGTTAGGTGGGGTGAAGAGCAGAGCGCACCCCAGCCTCAGGAGTGAATGTGCTTCTGCAGTCTAACACTGTCCCTCTCTGGCCCCAGGTTGGTCATGCAGCATTGCACTTTGACAAATCCACTGATGTTGTGACGGGTTTGAAACAGAAAACCTCCTTTGGGAGACCTCAGTGGGACAATGAATTTTCTGCTGTAGCTGCTGTCCATCCCAGGTAAGTGTTGGTAGGCTTGTGGTGTTACAGGATCAGAGATTTGGAGAAGAAAAGGACCTCAGAGGCTACCAAATCCAACCCCTTCATTTTGAAGATGAGGAAACTGAGGCCCAGAGAAGGGAAGGGAAGTGAATGGTCTCACTGGGAGTAAATGGCGGAGCAGAATTTGAACCTGGGCCCTTAGACTCCAAATTGTAGCATCAGAATGAAAGGAGATGATCCCGTGTGCTTGAGCTCTCCTGTGGGAATCTCTCTGGGACAGTCTGAAATTCCTGATCACTAAGACTGAGAAAATGTTACCGGGAATGCTTTGAATGAAGAGTTCATGCTTTGGAAGCAGTGAGAACTTGTCATGCTCTATGGCAAGAAAGCGCAGTTGGGCACTTGACTTAAGCTAGTAAATGAAGTGGACAACAGAGACACTTTGATCTCAATTACTTCTGTTTTTAATGTAAAAATGCCAGGGATTGAATCATCTGGATAGCTGCCTCAATTGGCCCATCTCAGTGCTAGGGTCGTTCTACCGCTTCTTCTAGAGGAAGGGGGCAGGAGGCAGGATATTGTGCTGGGGAACCGCAAAGTCACTGGGACCTCTAAGCCGGTGGACCTGGGGGGCAGCCTATGCCTCGGAAGCTGGGTCAGCCAACCCTGGTACAGAGGAGCAGATACCTGCTTGATTCTGTATTAGGAAAGTACCAAGAAATGGAGGTAGGTGAAGGTGCTGGAACAGTACCACGCCTACAGGACCTGCTGCATCTCTGTCCATTCTCCCTTTGCTTCTGTAGGTCAGTGGTGGGGGTTTTCCTGTGTGGCCCCCAGTCCCTGGCGAAGAGCCTACGCAAGTGTTGTAACCACTACTCCAGCTTGGATCCCAGGAAGGTCCGGTTCTATTTCAACAAGGAAAACTTCTAAGTGGAAGAGGCAAAAGGAGAGTGGCTGGTCATGAACTCTTGGCTTCTTTCAGCTCTCCTTCTGTGCCCCCACATGGAGATGTTATACCTGGGCAAATGACAGGGCTCTTCGACCAGGTTCTAATAGTCTGGTCTTTCCATTGGACCCACACCTCATCAATATGGGGACAGCAGGCTGGCCTCCAGAATATGTGCTGGGTGGGCCTTCTGCCATGCCTCTGCTTCTATGCCTGACTATGGGGGGGGGGGCGGTGCCCTCCATCCTTTCCTCTCCACCTCCATCCCCCTTTGCTGGATGGCCTCCTAGTCACTCTTGAAAGTTTGGCTCAGATGGAACTTCCAATAAAGCCTGCCCAGGTTAATGACAACTAGCTCTCTGTTGGACCTCACCTGGCATTTGGTTTTTACTTCTATGCGCTAGGCAAACATTACTTTGTATTTTAACCCTCTGTAGCACAGCCCTCTGCTTGTCTGGGAGCTCCATGCAACATCTCTAATTGGACAATCCATAGGCAGATCCAAAATGGAACTCCTGATCTTCTCCCCTAAACCCGTCCCTCTTTCCAACTTCCCTATTACTGTTGAGGACCCCACCATTCTCCCAGTCATCCATGATTACAACCTAAGTGTCCTCCTCACATTCCTCACTCTCACTCCACACATATCCAATCTGGTTTCTTCCTTCACAACCTCTCACATGAGTTCCCTTCTGTGCACATGATCCACCATGGTCAGGCCCTCAAAACCTCTCACTTGGACTATAGCAAAAGCTTTCCAATTGGTGTCCTTGCTTCACACCTATCCCCACTCCAACTTCTCTTCCATTCAGCTACCAAAGTGATTTTCCCCAAGCACAGGTCTGGCCATGGCATTTTCCATCCCCACCCCCCAAAACACCAGTGGCTCCTCCATTTGGTGAACTTGACCCCTTCCTGCCTGTCTAGTCTTCTCACACTTGGATTCCTCTCCAAAGACTCTAGCATCCCGCAAGCCTGGCCAGCCTTGTGGCTGTTACTCACAGAAGGCACTCTCTCGTATCAAGTATTCCAGGCTTGGAATACTCTCACCTTCCTCACCGTCACCTCCTAGTTTCCTCACTTCCTCCAAGGTTTAGCTCAAATCCCACTTTCTGCAGAAGTCCTTCCCTCCCTCCCCCACCAAGCTAGTGCCTTCCCTCGGAGATTCCCTTCCATCTACTCTGTATATAGCTATATTTTTCATAATGATTTGCATGTAGTTTCCCTTATTAGAATGTGAGCTTCCTGAGGGCAGGCACCATGGTTTGGTTGGTTGAGTTTTTTTGGAGGGGGTTGCATTCATGTCCCTATAACTTTGCCCAATGACTGGCACCTAGAAAGTATTTAATAAAATGCTTGTTGACTGGGTCCACGAGAGCAGCAATGGTGTAACAGCTCAAGTTTGCATGTGTCCTTTGGCCCTCAGAGGTGGAAGAGAAGAAAGGACTAAGTATTGTATGTACTGGCCTTTAGTCGAATGATTTCAACAAAAATTGTTCATCTCAAAGCCATGGATCTTCCTTGTGTTTGCCCTCCTCCCCCCACTCCCATATTTAAGCTGCTCTTCTGAAGGCCACTGCTGACTTCCAGGCCACATCCTGGACAGTATTTCAAACTCTTGGCCTTTGTGTGGAACTCCATTCCTAATGTAGTAAGGCTGTGGGATTCTTTGTTCACATGCTCCTTTGTAGTCTCCATATTGGCTATTTTCTTTTTCATTTCCAATTTTCTTTTAGCTTTTTAAAAAAATTCTAGCTTGATTATTCTCCTGTGATTTTGTTTGTGTTTCTCGAGATGTTATTTATTTTATCAAATGATTTTCCCCAATGCCAATTCTTGCTTAAGTTATTTGAATGTACCATTCTCCTCTTTGAAGATGCTGTTACTCAGTCGTTTCAGTCACATCTAACTCTCCATGACCCCCTTTTGGGGTGTTCTTGGCAAAGTTACTGCAGTGGTTTGCCATTTCCTTCTCCAGCTCATTTTACAGATGAGGAAACTGAGGCAAGCAGGGTGAAGTGACTTGCCCAGGGTCATACAGCTAGGAAGTGTCAGAGGCTGGATTTGAACTCAAGTCCTCCTGATTTCAGGCCTGGTGCTCTATGCACGCACCCTAGTACCCCCTTGCTGCCTCCATTTGAAGATCTCTCTCATAGTGTCTCTCGCCTGTTCCCCTCCTCCTCCCATTTCTATTGCTTCCCGTTGCTTTAGCTGATTTAGTTACTTTATGATGGTTTTTTTTTTAAGTTTGTTTGATCAACAGTTTTCTGGAATGTGTTTTTGCCACTTGTTTTCTTTTGTGTTTCTATTTGTTGGGGGCTTAGGAAGTGAGGTGTGAGGAATCTCATCCCAACATTCTGGATATCTTAATTGCCCAGATCTCTCTTCTCTGTCTCTCTTTCTCTTCTAGTTTCATCGCTGACTCCTCTTCCTACCCCTCCCCTTGAAATGGAAATATCCCATAATCCTTTGGACTTAGCCTTCTTCTGTCCCTTGGTTGCTTCCATCACTCCCAGGGATTCCTCCTTCCAAATCTAGCTCTAGCCCCGAATTCTCTCCCACATCCCAGACCAGCATTTCCAGCAGCCTAAATGGACATCTTTACCATCCAAGCTAACCCAATAAGCCCCTATCAAGTGCCTTCTATGTGCCAAGCATCGTGTTAGGCAAAACGCAGTTTTTGCTTTGCCCGCAAGGTCACATTCTTTTGTCCTGCCAGAACCTTAAACTATACATGGCTAAGACCTAATCCACTATTTCCTTTTTAGTCAACGAAAAAGCATTGACTAAGTGCCTACTATGTGTCTGGCATTGTACTAGGCACTGGGGATACAAGAACTTAAATTCTACATGCTCGTTACTTATTTCCGTCAAAAGCAGTCCTATTCTTTCAGATATCCAGACTTGAAATACCAGACTTGGTATTACCTTTGACCCCTTCCTCTTGTTCCCCTGTACCTTACACATCCAATTAGCTGACAAGTCTTATTGATGGTACAGTCAGTTTCTCTGACTGTTCCTTTCTTACCATTCCCATAGCTGCTGCCCATAGGCTTCAGTCTTGTCCCCTTCCCAATCCAACCAACACATGGCCATATTGATCTTCCCATGCACAGATCCAATCCCCTCACTCCACTGCTTGGCACCTTGGACCTCCATGTTCTGGCTCCAATGCACTTGGCAGCTTTCTCTCTCAATATCCTCCTCTTCCACAGGCTATTCTTTAGACAAGTGGTGTCAAAGTCAAATAGAAAGGGGAGGCCACTTAGATAAGAATCCCTGCAGGTAGTATATTGACTTGGAAAACCACATATAAACATTATCTATGTTTTATTGTATTTTTATTTTGTTAACTATTTCCCAGTTACACTTTGGCAAGTTTGAGGCCGCTGCTCCAGACAACTAGACTCTCCCAACTCCCTCAACACATCTCCCATCTTCTATCCCTGCTGCTGAAATCCTACTGGTTCTTCAAGTCCCTGCTTGGATGTCCCTTTCTCCTGGTTCCCAGATCATAGGCTCATGGATTTAGAGCTAGGTGAGCTCTTAGAGGTCATTGAGTCCAGCCCCCTCATGTTACAGAAAACTGAGGCACAGAGAGCTGAAGTGATTTTCCCCATGATCCCAAGGCAGTATCTGAATCAGGATTTGAGCACAGGTCTTCCGGACTCTGTGTCCAGTGCCCCATCCACTACACCATCACTCTCAGAAGTGATGTCTTCCTCCTCAGAACACTCATGACGCTTGGCTTCTACCTCTCTTGTATACTTAAAATCGACTTTACGTTATTGCTGTTCAGAGATGGAGAACTAGAGCCTTAGAGGTCATCAAATCCAATTCTGTCATTTTACAGAGGGAGAAACTGAGGCTGAGGGGTGAAATGAACTGCCCAAGGTCACAAGGCAATAAATGGCAGATCTGAATCTACGTCCTCTGTCTCTACCTCTCATGCCCTTTCCAGTGTACTATATTGCATCTCCTTAATTACACTAGAAACTTTTAAGGGAACTTGCCTTAATTTACCTTTGTCTTTCTTAGTTCCTATCTTTGTACATAATTAGTACCTGATAAACCTTAGTTGAATGAAACAGAATAACTAGTTACTGCATTTTTAGCAATGACCAGCCAGTGAGTCAGAGGATTTATGCTCTTAAACAGGGAGTTTTTTGGACCTTAGTCTCCTTCACTAAAACAAAGCCAGCCAGCCAGGCCTAACCAGTGGGGTCAACACACGCTTAGGAAGTGTCAGACACTTAGTACACTGGGGTACACAGATAGGCAAAGGCAAGGTCTCTGCTCTCCAGGGGCCTCCAGGAAGGGCTTTGGTTATGGCATAATTGTAATGGCATCAGGCTACCTTAGTATAGTTGTGAACAGCTGCACCAACCCTCTCAGCAGAGAGGTGGTAGGCTATGGGCACAGAGTGTGGCACATACACTGCATGACAGTTGGCTTTAACTAATTTACTCATCCAACATGGACCTCCAACAGAACAGATTTCTTTTCCCTTCTCTACTTCAAATAGGTAGAAAGGGTAAACAGTCAGTTGATTGTTGAAACTTCCCTGTAGGGCTGTATGACTAGGATCAGGAAGGTTGCTTCTCAGTCTGGTACCACTACTAGTGATAGGATAGGTTGGGACTCACAGTAGCTGCTTGTGATCTTAAGTACTGATTACAGTTGGACAGCAGGCATTAAAAAAAAAAAAGGATTTGCATTATAAATAAAGCTTTTTAAAAACAATTGTACAAAATGACTAGAAAAAAGAAAATGGAAATGCTGGTAGATTTTCTGGAAGGGTAGCTGGAGTTGACTGCTACTATCTGTTGGCTCAGTTTCCTCATCTGTAAAATGAGATGGAGAAAGAAATGGCCAACCTCTCTAGTGTCTTTGCTGAGAAAACCCCAACTGGGGGTAACGACAAAAACTATTGGCTCACTCTCATTTGTTGCCATTGCTACTAGGGTAACTCAACTGAAAAATGAAGTGGTTGGCTTGACGTGAGGTAACTCTGGGTCAAATGTCATCGTACAACCTTCCTGAGCAATCTAGGCACTTCTGGGGCCCTTCCTGGGGCTCCTGGGAACCAGGGCTTCTCAGTCTTGATATGTGATTTTGGCATGATGAGATTATACAAACACGGCCCAAATTACTGACATCCCATCTGGGCTGTTAGATGATGTTTACATAATTCATTCTTCAGAATTTTGGTTCAGCCCTGATGCTCCCTTTTTTTTGGGGGGGGGGAAGGCAGAGATAAGGAAAAAATAGGGAATGATGGTTCCATTGCATTTCCCCCCTTCCAGAATGGTAACGTACTAGAAGGGAGGCAGGCTGTCTTATGAGAATTTTGCAATTTCTTTGCACATCAGTCAAAACCCTCCTTTGGTTTCTTATCGTCCAATTTATCTTTGCTTCTCTTTGGGTTCTCATGGCCTTGGGCTCCTAAATCTCAGGCTTGGTATGTGCTCATCACATGCTATGAGCCTCTTAATGCAGCTGATTGCAAGTAATCTCAAGAGGCAGCAAAGGCTGAAAATAGAAATAGGTTCGAGAATGGTTTATATCAATGCCTAAACAGTTTTATACCATATCTGCAAATAACTGATGTACAAAAGGCATCACAAATACCTCAAAAAGTCTTTAATTGTCTTTCCAAAGACCTGAGAGCTTTATGAGAGAACAGGCAAGTGCCATCTGTTTCTATGATGCTGATGACACATACCGTAATCACCACCAAACACAGCATCTTTGCTTTAGCTCCGAACGACATAAAAGAATCCATCTGCTATTGACATAAAAATGCATCATGGTTATTTGGACTGTTCTAGAAGCAACAGACTGTTGTGCCAATGTCGATGCTTTGTTGCCTTTCTGGATGTTTTCTTGCTCCAACCAATTGCCTACAGCTCAATTAATTTATTATTTTCTCTTATTAGATACAGAGTGGTAAATTCTCAGTTTTCAAAAAGACACAGCCTTGTTATTTTGGCTAGACACAAAGTGAACACAAAAAGCTGGTTTTGGAAAACCATACAGCTGATAACTGACCATCAAGAAGAGTAAAAGACACAATGCACAATGCCTTGCATACAGTAGCACTTAATAATGTTCAATCAATTACTGACATACAAAAGAAGACACAGCTGGGGAACATAGCTCATGGACAATAGAAGAAGCCATAGTCTAACAACTTGTCCCATAGCTTGCAACTGAAGCAAAAGCAACTACTAACTTCCCCAGCAAAAAGGACATCACACATCTTGATTTGGGGCACACTCAAGTCCTGGGGAAAATTTATTTTTAATTCACATAAAATATACAAGCTACACACAAACATACACACACATACATACACCCACCCCCTACCCCCCACCTCCCTCCCCACCCCCCACCCCCCAAAACCCAACAATGAGGATAAGTAGATTTTACTTCTGGTAGAGGCATCAGATATGTTTTGCCCACCATTTCAGGTCATTTAAGTGTTGGGACACAGAAACTTATGATCCTGGATCCTTCTCCATACTATGAAATTAGACATGCAGGATTTCTGTCAAGCATTCTGTAAACCTACAATAACAAGTTGGAGAGAATCCATTAGTGAGGAAAGGGCCTTGGGACCACACCAGATCACAAGGAGCTCAGTCCGCTGCCTCCCTGCCAATTTCCAACTGATATTTGCAAGGATGGAGGCATACTCTCACACATACAGGAAACGCCTACAGAAGCTTATGGGAGCTAGCTCCAGGCCAATTCATCTGGAGCACTGAATACAGGACCTATCTGCTTCGGCCCCAACCAGTTTTTTTCCCGTGGTTTTTCAGTTACAAAGAGAGTTGTGATGGTTTCCCCCAGTAAGTACCTCATCTAACTACAGTAGAAGCTACCTAATAACTTAAATCTTCAAAGAAAGATCTGCTGGTGTCAGAAAATGCAGGCCCACCCAATCTTTGGAATCCTGAGTTAGGCAGAGCTACACACACAACCAGGTCCATCCCATTCCCGAGAGCAACCATTCATCAAAGGCCAGCTTGTGAGGCTCTCCTACTCCTGGGCCCAAACCAGACTTAGTATTATCCATTTCCTGGGGCAGGAAAACAGTGTAAACACATTTGTGGCCTACGATGAACTAAGATTTATATCAAATCTTGACTGTAATGCTTCGAAGGGTGGCCAGAGGCCTGAAAACTTTTTGGAAGAAGTCTGCTAAGTCCATGCTCACATGGTGCCTCCCAGAGGTATCCAAACCCAGTCTCCAAAGATCCTCAATATGCTTGCATGTAGGGTTATGGCTGTTGAAGTGGAAAGAAATTCAGAGATTCAATTCCCTCATGTTACAGATGAGGTAAATGGAGGCCAAAGTGAAGTGACTTGCCCAAGGTCATTTATTACAAAGGAAATAGTAAGGGGCAAAGGCAGATCTTCTGATTCCAGAGCCAGAGCCATTTTTCTACAGTGCCTTCTAAGTGGCCAGAATCTGGAGCAGCACTTGAACTCTCGTAGGATTTCAAATGTGCACGACAGCCCCTGTAGTAGTAAGGAAGACGGGCCACAGGTCAGAAGCAGCCACAGCAGCCATCGCTTCACTTTTCCCAGTGATTGTGACGGGTCACAACTGGCTGGGTCAAAGCTTGGCAGCAGAGCCCTGCCTTTGGTCACAGATTCCCTCTGTGCAAAACCACCAACAAATCAACTGCAAAACCCTGCCCAACCAAGCCAGGCTCTGAAGGGAATTTTGTTAAAAAAAAAAACCAGGAGGTGCTGAAGGAATCCTCCTCCCCAAACCTCCATCCACCATCTTTCTTCACACTGTAGACATGTTGTCTCTAGCAAAAGGAAACGAATAAAATAGAAGAGATGAAATCTCCAAGATTTCCTCTTAGGGAACAACAATTCCAATCTCCTAAGTTCATAGTTTGTGCCTTTACTGATGGAGCAAAAAAGCTAGGTTTTTGTTGTTTTTAAAGCTAAGGTGCTACTGGAACGGGCACAGCAAAAGAAAATGGGAGGTCACCTAGCAACAGCAGCTGCTGGGAGAGAATGGACTGCTCTGAATTCACACTTTAGTGAAAAACAGAAATTTGAAATTTAGGGCATTTTGATAAGATACTTGCATGTTAATAAAACAATAATGAATGTCCAGAGGTAGAGTGGTGTGGCAGGAATTTAGGAGCAGGTCCAACTATTGCCTAGTACATGACATACAGAAGTTTTGTCATCATTTTGGGCACATTTCCTTACCTATAAAACTAGAATTAGACTGCCCTGTCCCCAATCTGAAATTCTGTAATTCTAGATCTGATTTTCCAAAAGCACAGGGCCAACCACATTGCCAACTCACTAAACTCCAGTGGCTCTGTGACCTCCAGGACTGAATACCCAATCAAAGCCCTTCATAACCAGGTCCCTCCCCCACTCCTAACATCCTCCCCCACCCGGCAACAGTGACCTCCTAGTTGTTCCTTGAACAAGACACCTGTGTCTTGGCTCCTGGCATTCTCTTTGGCCATCCCCTGTGCCTCTTCAGCTCGCCTACTGCCCTCCTTGACTTCCCTTAAGTCTCAACCAAAATCTCACCCTCTCTAGAAAGCCCTCCCCAAGCCCTCTTAATTTGAGTTCCTTCCCTCTCTCAATTACTTGCCCATTTATACAACTTGTTTGTACACAGTTGTTTGCTTGCTGTGTCCCCCATTAGCTTGTGGGCTACTCGATGGGTGGGAACTGTCTCTTTGCCTTTCTTTGTATTCCCAGCACTCAGCACAGTGCCTGGCACACAGCAGGCGCTTACTAAATGTTTACAGACTGACTGCTGTGGGGATCTAGCCCACTGTGCAGTAAGATCACTGGCTGATACCAGGGAAGTTATCACCAGGATGTACCAACTGGGAGATGGGACCCAAAGAAGTTCTAAATGGTAGCAAAACTCTGTGGGGGTGACCAGGCCTGTGCTTGTGATCTAGGCTTGGCACAGTTTGTGTTTGGCTGGCCAACCTTTGAGAGCCCAACGTCACCTTTCACAGTGGAAGAAAGAGGCAAGAGAGTAGAGAAACTTGGCAGGGTAGAGTCAACCCAGCCCTGGAACAAAGAAGATGACTTACTTTCCACTAAGTTACTCAACCTTAAAGATGTTGGAGAGATCAGAATTTAAAACTGAGCCAATAACACACAGAACACTTTCAAGGTGTGTCATGATGAGTTTATTTGGAAGATGAGTATGACAAGGAGGAAGGGTGATGATGAGTGTGGGGAGCTATGTGTCAGCCCGTAAGAACTCATGCTAAAACCTGTCAGAGTTTATGGTGGATTTTGTTGACCATTCGCTTCCTTGGCTACATGCTCTATTCTTCTTACATCAGAATCTGCTTCAGAAGTAAATATACTGGTTACTAAGATACATAGACATTTACTGAAATGCTCCATATATTAGCACATCCGAGGTGATTAACTATGCAGAACAGAGAACTCTCCACAATGGACCAATGCCCTACAGTACCATCCCACCGCACAGATTGGCCTTGCAGAAGCAGAATAGAGATCAGAGGAACAAACAAAGGTCCTTATGCTGAGCATTCTGGGTGAGGATGGAAGCAACCCAAGCAGGGTACTCCAGCCCTCTGCCCTCCCCAGCTGGGCATCTGTTTGCTCACCATTTAAGGGGCGCCAGTAGATTTTTGTATCTGTTCCTTTAAAATCAGGATACTCTGCCGTTGCTCAGGAGGGAGCATAGCAATTTGGTCTGCGGTCAGCTGGAGCACTTGCATAATCAGAGCAGCCTTTGGAAAGAAAGGAAGACGATTATGGAACTGTAATAAAGACAGCTCCGCAGTTCCCCATGGCCATCATCTCCCTACCAAGTGCACCGAATTGTGTTGTGGGGGGAAGAGGAAATCAAACGGGAAAAGAAAGTCCATTTTATACCAAGGAAACAGGCAACAACAAGGTGGTGAGGCAAAGGTAAACAGAGAAGCCTGCATGCAAATAAAACCACACCCAGACCAAGGCCTAGAGGAGCCCCAAAGGCCCCTTAGGTAAATGAGGGTCACTTCCCCTCCCTGAACAGACATTACCTTATCTGTACAAGGAGGATAATAATAAGCAGGGCATCAAAAGAAAGATTACATGTCAACCCCAGGCCATAGAAATGTTCACTATATTTCCTGTCCCGCATGAGTTTCCCACAAAGATCTAATACAAAAGCAAAGAGCTAATAATAATAGCTAGCATCTATATGGTGCTTTGTGGTTTGTAAACGACTTTACAAATAAGACTTCATTTGGTCCTTACAACCACCCTCGGAGAGAGGTGCTATGATGATCCCCATTTCACAGTTGAGTCAATTAAGTCACTTGCCCAGAGAGGTCTGAGAAAAGGATGGAATTTCCCCAATCCAAGGCCAACACTTTATCCATAGTACCACCCAGGTGCCTCAACAGCAGGAACTCAACTACTATTTTTAATGGGGTAAGGGATGGAAGAGAAGGTAGGCTAAGGTCTTTTCAGCTATTTCCACCTTACACAGATCACCCTAAGAGCCTACTACATAACCCTTATTCAGTTTCCAGGCCCAGGCCCATGGACCCCTGAGTCAAAACACCACTACTGAATGGACACAGAAAATCCTGTATGCAAGGGCACTGTTACATAGCAGCCGCATTCTGCACATGCGCACGTGCAGATGGAGAGGAGGCCTCTGGATCAATGGAGAGAGTTAAAACTTGCCTTTTCGTGATCCTGTGGAGTAACTTGGTTCTGTCCAGGACTAAATCCCCCAGGCTGACCTCCGCCTTGCAGACCAGATCCCTGCATACCTGGGACCTGTGTGTCCAAAGACAGGAGAGGACCTGATGAGTTTCTGAGACACAGATAACAGGCAATTAAAATTAGCAGTGTCAAGAAGTAAGTGTGGCACCCATTTATATGCTGTTGGTGGAGCTGTGTGAACTGGTTCAATCACTCAGAACATAGAATCCTGAACGTCAAAATGACTAAACGCCCATACTTCTTGACTTTGAGATCTACCCCACTGCTAGTCATATACCCCAAGAAGGATCTGCCTTAATCTCAAGGCCAAAGGAAGAAAGAAAGGTCTCATATATATATACCACAATAGTCATAGCAAAACCTTCTGGAGTAACCAAAAATTGTAAACAAAGTGAGTATCCATCCAATAAGAGAATGGCTCAACAAACTGTACTATATGAATATAACAGAAGAGCTCTGCAAGGAATTATAAACATGAGGAACCGAGAGGAGCTCTGCTGCAGAGGTAAGAAAGTAGAACTAGGAAAGGAATGTATAAAATGACTATAAAAATCTAAAAAGAAAGAACAATAAATCCAAAAAGAAAGTTGCCTAATTATAATGACTACAATTGGCCCTAGAGAAGAGATGAGAAAATACACCTTCCTGAGCATGGGAGTGGCGGTATTCTGTAGGAAAAGTAGTTAACACCTGTCAGGAAGCTAGGAGCATTGAGACAGACACGGACACAGTGATTTGTAGTAAAAGTAATAACACCTGCCATGGAAGCTAGAACTCATGACTGACAGAGAGACAGGGAATGTTTTGCAGGAAATGAGAGGCTAGAAAACTGCCCAGATTAACAGAAGAAGAAATAGAATACTTAAGCCCATTTGAAAAAAGAAACTGAACAAGCATTAATGATCTCCTTAAGAAAAAGAGAAAGCCTTTGACAAAATACAACCCCCATTCCTATTAAAAACACTAGAGAGCATAGTATTGAATAAATGGAGTCTTCCTTAAAATAATAAATAGCATCTATCTAAAACCTTCAGCAAGCATTATATGTAATGGGGACAAGCTAGAAGCATTTCCAATAAGATCAGGGGTGAAACAAGGATGTCCATTATCACCACTGTTATTCAATATTGTACTGGAAACTTAGCTTTAGCAATAAGAGAAGAAAAAGAAATTGAAGGTATTAGAATAGGCAAAGAAGAAACAAAGCTATCACTCTTTGCAGATGGTACAATGACATACTCAGAGAATCCTAGAGAATCAAGTAAAAAACTACTTGAAATAATAAACAACTTTAGCAAAGTTGCAGGCTATAAAATAAACCCACATAAATCATCAGCATTTCTATATATTACCAACAAAGCCCAACAGCAAGAGATAGAAAGAGAAATTCCATTTAAACTTACTGTAGACATTATAAAATATTTAGGAGTCTACCTCCCGAAACAAACCCAGGAACTCTATGAACACAATTACAAAACACTTTTCACACAAATAAAATCAGATCTAAATAATTGGAAAAACATCAGTTGCTCATGGGTAGGCCAAGCTAATAAATAAAAATGACAATCCTACCTAAGCTAATTTACTTATTCAGTGCCATACCAATCAAACTACCAAAAATTATTTTATAGAGTTAGAAAAAATAATAACAAGATTCATTTGGAAGAACAAAAGGTCCAGAATATCAAGGAACTAATGAAAAGAAATGCAGGGGAAGGTGGCCTAGCAATTCCAGATCTTAAATTGTATTATAAAGCAGCAATCATCAAAACTGCTTGGTACTGGCTAAGAAATAGAGTGGTGGATCAGTGGAATAGGTTAAATATGCAAGACACAGTAGTCAATGACTATAGTAATCTATTATTTGATAAACCCAAAGACCCCAGCTTCTGGGATAAGAACCCACTCTTTGAAAAAACTGCTGGGAAAACTGGAAAAGAGTATGGCAGAAACTAGGCATAGACCCAAATCTCACACCATATACCAAAATAAAGTCAAAATGGGTTCATGATTTAGATATAAAGGCTGATACTAAACAAACTGAGAACAAGGAATAGTTTACCTATCAGATCTATGGAGAACAGAAGAATTCATGACCAAACAGAAGATAGAGAACATTATGAAAGCAAAATGGATAATTTTGATTACATTAAATTGAAAAGTTTTTGCACAAACAAAGCCAATGCAACTAAGATTAGAAGGAAGGTAGAAAATTGGGAAAGAATTTTTAAACCTCTGCTAAAGGCCTCATTTCTAAAATATTAGAGAATAGAGAATTAAGAAATTTATAAGAATACAAGCCATTCCCAATTGATAAATGGTCAAAGGATATGAACAGCAGTTCTCAGATGAAGAAATTAAAGCCATCTATAGTCATATGAAAAAATGCTCTAAATCACTATTGATTAGAGAAATGCAAATCAAAACAACTCTGAGGTACCACATCACACCTATCAGATTGGCCAACATGACAAAACAGGAAAATGATAAATGTTGGAGAAATATGGGAAAATTGGAACACTGATACATTGTTGGTGGAGTTGTGAAATGATCCAACCATTTTGGAGACAATTTGGAACTATGCCCAAAGGGCTATAAAAATGTGCATACCCTTTGACCAGCAATAGCACTTCTAGGGCTATATCCCAAAGAGATCATACAAATGGGAAAAGGACCCACATGTACAAAAATATTCATAGCAGCTCTTTTTGTGGTGGCAAAGAATTGGAAATTGAGAGGATGCCCATCAATTGGGGAATGGCTGAGCAAGTTGTGGTATATGAATGTAATGGAATACTATTGTGCTATAAGAAATGATGAACAGGCTGACTTCAGAAAAACCTGGAAAGACTTATATGGCCTGATGCTGAGTGAAGTAAGCAGAACCAAGAGGACTTTGTACACAATAACAGCCACATTGTGCTATGACTAATATTGATAAACTTAACCTTTCCCAGCAATACAAGGATCTAAGACATCTCCAAAGGCCTCATGATGGAAAATGCTAGCCACATCCCAAGAAAGAACTATGGAGTTTGAATGCAGACTGAAGCACAGTATTTGCTATTTTTTTTTCCTTCTGTTGAGTTTTGTTTCCTCTTTCTGGTGGTTCCTCCTACTGGTTCTAATTCTTACAACATCACTAATGTGAAAATATGTTTAATAGGAAGGTATATATATAGCCTATATCAGATTGTGCGCCGTCTTGGGGAGGAAGGGGGAGAAAAATTTTAAACTCCAATGTATATGGAAGTGATTGTTGATAAATCTAAATAAATTAATTAAAAAAAAGAAAAAAGAAAAAGAACCCCAGACCCAGATGAATTTACAAAAGAATCCTATCAAACATTTTAAAAACAATTAATTCCAACATTATAGAAGGTGAAAAAAAAGATAAAGGAGTCCTACCAAATTCCTCCCGTGACACAAATATGGTTTTGATACCAAAACCAGGGAAAGAAACCTCTAGACCAATTTCCCTAATGAATATTGATGCAAAAATTTTAAATGAAATACTAGCAAAGAGATTACAACAATATATCACAAAGATCATAGGCGATGATCAGGTTCAATTCATACCGGAAATGTGGGGCTGGTTCAATGTTAGAAAACTTATCAGCATAACTGACCATCTCAATAACAAAAACAACAAAAAGCATATGATTATCTCACTAGATCCAGAAAAAGATTTTGACAAAGTTCCACACCCATTCCTAGTGAAAGCACTAGAAACCATAATAAATGGAGCTTTTCTTAAAATAGAAATTGGTGTGTATCTAAAACCAAGAAGGAGCATTCTATGTAATGGGGATGAACTACAACCCTTTTGAATAAGATGGGGGACACGGGGGGAGGAAGGGGGAAGCAAGGATGTCCTCGGTCATCATTACTATTCAGTATTGTACTAGAACTGTGAGCAACAGCTGTAAGACCAGAAAAAAGAACCAAAGGAATAAGCATAGGCAACGAATGAAGAAACAAAATGTGCCTTCTGTGGCCGATGCGATGGCAGACCCAGGGTGGGTTCTGTAGGTAAGCAGTAACACCTAGTATGGAAGCTAGAACTCATGATTGACATATACACACAGACAGGGTGGGTTCTCTAGGAAAGAGAGTAACACTAACCCTGGAAACCAGAACTGACAACAGACAGAGAGACTGTGTGTGTTCTATAGGATAAATAGTACCACCTTCTATGGGAACAGATTAACAGAAGAGGAAACAACAGAATCCTTAAATAACCCTATTTTGGAAAAAAGAAATTTAATAACCCATAAATGAGCTCCCTAGGAAAAGAAACTTGGGACCAGATGGATTTACAAGTAAATTCTACCAAACATTTAAAGAACAATTAATTTCACTATTACAGAAACGGCTTGGAAAAATAGATAAAAGGAGTCCCACCAAATTCTGTCTGACACAAATATCCTTTCGCTATCTAAACCAGGCAGAACAAAACCAGTGAAAGAAAACTCTAGACCAATTTCCCTAATGAATATTGAAGCAAAAATGCTAAATAAAATATGAGCGAAGACATTACAGCAATATATCACAAAGATCAAATATACTGACTAGGTTCAATTTATACCAGTAATGCAGGGCTGGCTCAACATTAGGAAAACTATAAGCACAGCTGGCCACGTCAAGAACAAAAACAACACGAAAGCTTTTGACAAAACCCAACATCCATTCCAGTTAAAACCACTGGAAAGCACGGGGAATCAAGAGAGGCTTTCTTTAAGGAGCACGAGCATTCTCTGTCATGGGCACAAAAATGGACATGAACGCTTCTGAATAAGATCTAGGGGTGAAGCAAGGATGTCTGTGATGACCATTACTCTCCAATACTGTACTAGAAATGCTAGCTATAGTAATGAAACCAGAAAAAGCAACGGAAGGACTGAGCATAGGCGACAAGGAAGCAAAAGTCGCCCATTCTACGGAGGATGATATATGAACTCAGGGTGTGTTCTGAAGGAAAAGTAGTAAAATGTGCCACAGAAGTTAAGGGCAGATGACAGACAGAAAGCCAGACAGTGCCTACTCTTTAGGAAACATAGCAACCCTTGTGATGGAAGCTAGAACCAATGACAGGCAGGTAGTGTGTGTTCTGGAGGCTAAGTTGTAATACCTGCCAAGGAAGCTTTAAATAAAGAGAAAAAACCTCCATGGCTCCCCCTAGGGCTGGGATCCCTGCCGAGTCAGAAATAGGCAGCTTTTTATCAAAGGCCCTATACACCCACCCTTACCCCACCCTTCCTAGAAATGACAGCCTCATATACATTTTTGTTGGCAAAGCCAAACAGTACCAGTATCCTGCAAAAAGACCAGAACAAAGTCCAGTAACCACCCATTATTCTGAAGGTCAAAGTTCTGGTCACCTCTACCTTCAGGAACCTAAAGTAAGCCACTGCTTTTAAGCTCCTGCTCCTGGCTCCCTAGGGAGAGGAGGGCTGTGAAAGTGAGCTCCCACGCAGGGCAGTCTGTTCAGATGGAGAGTCAAAACTGCTTGCTGCCAGATACCACATGACTACTACTACTGGGTCACTCCTTTGCATCTAGCCCCCCAACCCAAGGTGGAATCCCTCTGGGCACTCAGTGGGAGGGCATGACTCTTGCCCCACCCTCACCTTGCCAGGGTCTCTTGGATGAGCACAGAGAGCTCCCCCTTTGCAGCTGATGCACCACTGGCACTTTAGGGAGGCCCGAGAGCTTGATGGCAGAGGTCAGTCTTCATTTGGCCAGCCCTTCGTCTAGACTTGGGCTCTCTAGTCAAAGTAGATTTCACTGAGCCCCCTCAAATTTAAATTCTGATCTAAGCTTTTGTTAATTTGATGATTTAAACTTTTGCTAATTTTGAATTTTTTTCATCTACTTTTATGATTATTAACTTTAGCATTCATTGGTGAAGAGAAACCAAGAAATCACTTTTAATTATTCACAGCATAAAAGCAAAAGAAGGGCAGAAATAGATTTCTGAACACTGTGCTACTTTTGCTGCTAGCTTAAACTTCTTTCCTCAGGAAACCCATTAACAAAGCCGCTAAAAAATCCACAGAGCTTGGGTGGGGAACTTTTTTTTTTCTACTGAGGGTTACTTACCCATAGTTGGGGGAAAAAAAATCAAGGGCAGAGGGCTACAGAGGTTGAAGGCAAACTCTAATTTACAGGAAAAGAAATGTTCAGCTCATCTCATTGTCCTGCTAAAAAACAGGGACTCCCAAACTGTATGCAATATATTATAAAAGCATTAATTCTGCCGCAGGTTCTGGCCCATGAACAGAGGGGAAAGGAAAGGGCAGAAGCAGGCAAGGATGAGGAGAGGGGATGGAGCTGGGAGGGAGGGAAGAAAAGACAGCTCTCTCTAACCCCAAGGGGGAAAAATACAGATACCTTCCTCAGAAAGGGAGAAAGAGATGTGAAGGGGGAAAGGTAGAGGGGAGAGGGCAGAAGGGGAAAGGCAGAATAAACAAAGATGAGGGGAAAGTGGGCAGGTTTCACCTTCCCTGTAACAGCCTTCTTTTCTTTTTTTTCTTTTTTGGTGAGGCAATTGACGTTAAGTGACTTGCCCAGGATCACACAGCTAGTGTCAAGTGGCTGAGGCCACATTTGAACTCAGGTCCTCCTGATTCCAAGTCTGGAACTTTACCCACTGTGCCACCTAGCTGTGCCCCCGAGAATTACCTAGAGTCCAGAGAGGTTTACTGCCTTGTTTGGGGTGACAGAGTCTAGAACCCAGGTCTCCTCCTCTGTACATGAGGACAGAAACAAAGAGGGTGATTCCTGAGAAATGGAGAATAGTTAAATAGCGCTTGGTAAATGTGCAATGGAATACTATAAAGTGATCAAGATGGACCGAAAAGACCTTTCTGAGATAATGCAAAGTGAAACAAGAACCAGAAAAATGGGGTGCATGCTATGATGATCAAAGGAGGCAAAGTAAAGGAATGGCCAAAAACTCCTACTGTGGGCTCGGAGGGGAGAGCTGACTGAGCAGGAAGACACTCCCAAGCAAGGAGAATTGTTTGTATTTAGTTTCTAAAAGCACATTTAAGGAAGAAAAGAGAGGAGGGAGGATAGGGAGCCACGATCAGGAGGTTCTGATATGGGTACGTTAAGGAACCAATCCTGTGACCCAACACCCTGCTCATTTATTTGGGCTATGGCTTGACACAGGTTATATATACACAGGAACCTATCAGCTGCTTGCTCACCAGTCACATTTCTCCCACTACCTTCCTCCTCCTCGAATCCTAAAATCCCAGTCTTGTCTCGGGAACACAACAGCCATAGTGGCCCAGCAGGAGACCCTTAGTTTTTAGGATACAGTGGCAGTGGCCAAAAAGCACCAGCATAAGACACACCTGAATTAGAATCTCTGCACGGAGCCTCCCATTCCTAAGAACCTGAGACAGCAAGAAGAAGCGGTCAATTAGCCCGATTAGAATAATCAAGAATTACTAGGAGAGGAAGAGGGGATATGCATACCTGCCGGGGACCCTGCGGACCACCTGCTCCCATGTTGATTGGCCCAGGTCCCTGGAGGCCCCCAGGCATTGGGCCTCTGGGGCCAGGGCCTCGGGTTTCCATTCCTCTTGCATCCATGCCCCTGGCCTCCAGGGCCCTTGATTCTAAGCTTCGGGCCTCCATCCCCCTGGCTTCCATTGCTCTTGCATCCATGCCTCTGGCCTCCATGGCTCTGGCCTCCATGGCTCGGGCATCCATCCCTCGGGGATCTCTTCCACCTGTGGGAAGAGTTAAGCAGAGCCATAGCCAGCCATTCGAAGACAGACAGCTGCTTGGACAAGTGAACATCCAGGGAATGAATGAAATCCCAAAATAACTCAGCTTCAAGTTGTACCATCTGTTGTATATGTCACACACTCCTACCTGATTATTCTCTATTCTTTCGGCTTCATTTCTTTTTAATAATTGTCTGATTGGTGCCTGCCCCCCCCCCGCCCATTATCGTCACTTACCAATACCCCATTCCCCACAATAAAAGAACCTGACACACGGGCCATGCCTGCCAACCAGTGTTTGCCTTGCTACATTCTGCGCTAAGCATCCATCTCTCCTCTGAGAGGTGGAAGGTGTTTTACTGAGAGTCAAGATGGCTGCATACTCTTTTCTTTCCTACCATGCGAGGCTTTTTTCCCCCCTATTTTCTTCTAAAAACAAAACCCCTGACCCCTGGCTCACAAGTGACAAAAGCTACCATGGCCGACTCCATGTAATGGATCTCCCCTTACCTCTGCCATCCATGGGTGGACCCCTCTGATCCAGCATGGGTCCTCTGGGCTCTCCCATTAGCGGCCGAGGCTCTCCCAATGGCCCTCCCCGCATCTCGTGGGGAGGGCCACGACTGTCATGGCCAGGGACGTGATGCATCGGAGGACCCTGATGGGGTGGCCCCAGGTAACCCCTGCAGACAGAAAGAGAGAAGAGCAAAAGAAAGGAGTCAGCCAGGAAAGGGTCAAGAAGCAGAGATTAGACACAAAGCTGACACCAAGGCTCAACTCTATATACTGGCAGGAGAAAGATAATTGTTATTGGACAACTAAATTACCCCTCAGCAGTGCTACACAGCCAACCTGGGCACAGCCACATACAGCCATCCGAGTAATGCTGTCCTACCCGGCAGCCACGGTACAAGAAGAGGCACGTTCTTCAAATGGCAGCACATTTCTGTGACAGGGAGCTGCGTCATACCACAACATACTGTGACTTTGTGTTACATATATACGTTGTATAGATCACCTGATATTGTCTATCTCCCTGTCCAGATGCTTGACCTTCTAGTGTTGGGCGCTTTATGGAAGACTGCCAAGGAAACAATAGCCACAGTCAGGCTAGGCAATCTGCAGTTCTGTTCCATGGTGCACTCAGGCCTAGAGAGCCCCCAAGAAGAGTTCCCTTTGTTTTGGCAGGGAAAGCCCTTGGCCCCAAGAGAGGGGGCATGAGTTAGTTAGCGCTTGTCCTTCTTAGTTGGTGCTTGCTTACCTGGGTTCTACTTCTCCAGTGACTGAGAGCAAAGTCCCTCCACGTGGGTCATTTGGAGCATCCCCTAAAAGACCTCGGGGAGGTGGGCCGCCAGCAGGCATAGGTCCACGTTGCATAGGGGCTCTGGGGTCTGGCATTGGCACTGCCAGGGAAACAAACGGGGAATTACCGAAGTGAAAAAAACCAAGCAAGGAAACTCAGAGCAATGACTCTATGCACCACAGTCAACGTAACTAACACGCGAGAGCTCAGGAAAACTCCTCATCCCAAAAGAATGCTCCTGAAATTCAAGAACAGAAAGCAGGGAGCAAGCAGGGCCTATGCTGCAGCAGCAGCGTACAGGGAAATGCCAACTAGTTGTAGAAAGTGATCCTTCTCTGTTTTGCTTAGAATTCCTATCTTAGCCCAATAACCAGTCACAAAAGGCAGCTCCTGCCTTGGCACACATGAACAATGCTGTGCCTACAAGGACCTCTTAGCTAGGGAAAGACCGCTTGCCATCCTACAGACCGCTGTTATTCCATCCAAGCCTCCTGACACCAAGCCTCCAACAAAGGGCAATCTCAGGCTTGTGGCTCCCCCCCAAGGAAAAGCAAAGCCAAAATATCCCCTTTTGGGGCTCTCAACATGAAGCTCACTGCTAGACAGCTCTCCTCCTCTCACACCCCACCCTGAACACCACAAGCACAGGAAACCTGCAGTTACCGTGGGTACCTTGAACTCGCTCAATTGGTGCAGGCCCGGCGGGTCCCACGGGTGAGTGCTGTAGGGTCCCTGGGTGAGCAGCAAGTTAAAGAGAAGGAAAAAGAGCAGAGACATGAATGGCTTGCACACCCCCCACACACCCTTACACACATACCCACGTCTGGAGATTTTTGTACTATGCTCACCAAAGCTCAAAACCATTCCTAGGTTGGTAGTTTGCCCCAGAGTTGCCAAATCTCCTTGGCCTATGTTAGTTTCTTTGCGTGTATGCCTGAACCACAGTTCGACTTTGGGAAGGTGGATTCCCAGAAGTTGTGTACCAGGGTATCAAAATGAAACGAATCGAGCCTGCTGCCCAAATCTGACTAAGGAAGCAATTCTAGCCTCCTTCAAACATTACTTCTGCTATAATCTACTTTCTTCCTAAAAACACTCCTGTGTTGTTATCCAATAATATGGCTGCATGTTCACAAGCAAAACATGGCAGCTAGAGAAGACCGAGTCTGGAAGGCTGGACTGACTGAGGAAAGGCCCCAAAGCACATGGGGTAGCACAAACAAAGCTACATCTGAAACACAAGAGCGGCCAACACCAAAGCAAGTATCCCATGGAGCCACAGTGACCGAGTCTCAGAGGAAGAAAAAAGCCCTTTGGAGATGATGAGCAAAGCCCGAGGAGGAGGGGCTTCTGCATACACGCACACGGACACCAATGGTCCAACTGCAAAAGCAGTAAAGACACAGGGTGGCAGAAGGCAGGGAGATGCCAAGCTCTCAGGATGTCCCCTTGTCTCCTACCACCACTGCATGCACGTACGCACAAGCAGCAAGAATCCTAGGACAGACAACACTAGGCAAGGCAAAGGGGAGCCTGACTCCTGCGCCCTAGTCTATAGGCTTGTGAGAACTGCTACCAAGGAGCCCCAAGAGCATCAGGTTCAGAACCCTATTTCTCCACTCTCCCTATAGAGCAATTTTCAAACACAAAGGTGCCATAACCTATGGGTGAAAAGAGGGAAAGCCCCTCACCTATCTCTTCTGGGGCTAGCTAGGTGGCACACCGAGTCCCTACCCACCTACACTCAAAGCACATGGACCCTGAGAGAAAGGGCGGGATGAAGGTGTAGGACCTTGTTTGATTGCTGTCAGTCATCTGTGGAGCGAATCATTGGTTCTGTCGTTTCTGGAACCTTCCCCAGTGCACCAGCTCAAAATGACAAGGAGGGTAGAGTAGTCTGGCCCAAGGCCTTGCCTTGTCTGCAGGTCTTCCTTGCTGGTCACTTTTGCTTTGCACCCTCAAGGAGAGGGGCTTGGTCCCTCAGACTCAGAAAATGCTAGAGAATTCTGAGGGCTATTTGGGGGAAAACAGCAGTCGAAGCTACCGAATCACTGTTTTTCCTGGCTCTCACTGCAAACGAACCACATTTTCTTTGCTTTTAGGATTTGGCCACATGGAGACAGAAGGCAGAAAGTCTGGGTTTGCTGTTGCTATTGTGACCAAGATTCTGTGCACAATGACAACGCTGCCGCCGCTGCCCACATCATGGTACGACAGACCCAAGACGAGTAGGCTTCACTGGCCTGTGCTCCCCACAACAGCCCTGACCAGGCTTTTAAGCCACCGTCATTTTATGCACCCTGGCTCCGTGCTATGTGCCCATTCCTCCCTGTGCCCACTCAACAGCCAGCACTAGTAACACAGGGAGAGACAGAAAGAGTACGTGCTAACATGACTACAAACCCATCAGAAAAAAGTGCAATACAGCATCGCTTGGCTTCATCCCTGCCACCCCTGCCACTGGGCTTTACCTCACTAGGTGAAGAGTCTGGAGAAGTCAAGCGCTGCAAGTAACCTGTGTTAGCCCGACAATACAATGTACTTACCTTGCCCCCGGTCTAGGGACACTGGCCCACCACCTGGCATTCCAACCTTGGACTGCATTCCACCTGGAAGATAAAGCCAAGGGAACTGTAACTTAGGACAACAAAGAAATCCACAAATCGCTCCCTCCTTCCATAGCATCATAATCCCACAAAGGAAGTTCCCAACCACCATTCCTGCCCCCTTCCCCTCAAAAAAGCCACTGCACCTAGTCCCTGCACAAAGAATGAGTGCCTTCTGAGACTCAGGAAACACCTCAACTGAAATCTGCCAAGATCTACCACCTCTTCACAAGGGGCTTCTGCCCAGTGCCATGTGCCTGCTGCTCCATTGCTAGACAAATGGGAGAAGTGGGCCTCAGGCTTTACGCATTGGGGCTGGGAAGGTGAACTGCGGCCAAGGCCTTCTAAAGTCTTGGCCGTATCATGAACAGCAAATTACAGGGCAGTGGCTTTCACTTCTCTCTGCCTTTGACATCTCGATGCCCCAAAGCACTCCATTAAACCACAGGCAAAAGAGATCAGAGACCAGGACTAAGTATGTGCTCAAGACCTCGCTCCTTTCCCTACTACGTTCAAAGCATTCACTTGGACTATTTCACCCCATCTTCTTCAGAAAGAGAATCAAGCAATGTGTACTTTATCTAGTTACCCCAAACGGGGCCACAAAGCGACTGAACAACAACATTCACAACAGGTCACATCTCCACAGCACCCTCAGATGCGCCAAGCACCTTTCACGGATGATCTCATTGAGTCTGAGCTCTCCTGTGCAATGAATAAATTGCCACGGGACTATGTTGCAACATCTTGCAAGTGTCAGAATGTGAAGCACAGCTCACCTCCAGGAGCCAAGGGGCCAGGGCCAGGTCCTGCAGTGGGCATTGCTCCTGGCGTGGGAACGCCACCTGGCAGAGGTGGCTGCATCAGAGGAGGAGCTCCATTCACATGCATCCCACCCTGAACAAGAGAAGAAATCAGAGCCTGTCCCATGTCCCTGTGGGGATTTAATAAATACACTAGTTGATGACCACCCTAAATTCCCTTCAAACCGCTTATTCTAACCATCCCACCCCCCCATTCCTGTCCAGATGGCATGCCCTCCCACAGGGCACAAACAGAAAAGCCATAGCTACAGCCCTCTGGGCTCCTCAGGGAAAGGGAGGGGGGTGCATAGGGGCTTTGTACACCCCTTCAATGTTGGGATACATTTGTTTAGACATCCTGCTCAATCACAGGGCGTTGTGGTATCTTCACATTGTTCTACTTGATGCAACCAAAGGGAAATAAAGGCAGGCTCCTGGGGCTCTACTTAGAGAAGCCCCAAAGCAGTGACGCCTTTACGAAGGCAAAGCTTCTCACTCCTGTCTACCGAGAGAATTTGGGGTGGATGTGGTGGAGTTCAGGTTTGAAAGACCACTTCTCGTTGGTTTGTTTGGGTTTTTTTTGGCTAGGCAATGGGGTTAAGTGACTTGCCCAGGGTCACACAGCTAGTAAGTGTTAAGTGTCTGAGGCCGGATTTGAACTCAGGTCCTCTTGACTCCACAGCCGATGCTCTATCCACTGCATCACCTAGCTGCCCCAAAAGACCACTTCTCACACTCTGGAGTTGCATATCCAAGTTCTTTATATAGAGGGGAAGGGAATAAGCATCTGTGAAATGCCTACTATGTGCCAGGGACTATGCTAAGTGCTTTAAAAATCTTATCTTGGGGCAGCTAGGTGGCACAGTGGATAGAGCACTGGCCCTGAAGTCAGGAGGACCTCAGTTCAAATCCAGCCTCAAACGAAACACTTGACACTTACTAGCTGTGTGACCCTGGGCAAGACACTTAACCCCAATTGCCTTAAAAAAAAAAATCTGATCTCATCTGAAGGCCCTCACTACTGCTGTACACAAGCCAGGGAAGACAGGTTAAGAGCAGTAAGTGAGGAGAGTGGGCCTGCCCTTTTTTGAGGTACCCAATTTCATTTCCACTACTCAATTACCCCAAACCTGAAGGGCTCTACACTGCTCCCCACCTGCCAAGTGTAAGGCCATCACAGAAGATGTACATGCCACAACCCGAAAAGAGTTTTCACTTTTTTGTCTAACTTCCTTTTCTCTTGCACCCTAGCCTTCCAACTGTAACCTCAGTGAGAGGCCTCCTGACAAGTGTGAGGCCGTCACAGAAGACTGGAGCCAATTAAAGACAGACAGAAGTGCTCATGTGTGAATCCCTACCAAAGGCTGTGGTTGAGATGCTGGAGTATTCGGCTGGTTCATTGGTGCACTAGGTCCTTGGCCAGGCTGCGGGTTACCTTGAATCAGAGACGGGATATTTGCTTGACGATGCAAAATTTTCTACAGGAAAGAGATAAACACATGCGCTGGAACTGGCCGTGCATGTAACAAGATTATCTGTCAAGCCCTGCCTCCCACCACAAAGAAGGCCACTTCCATAGGCAACCAGAAGAACTTACCAGTGCAATCTCTGGATCCACGATTCTCATCACTACTTGGGCCTGTAGCAAAGCATAAGCCAGCTGGGGGTTTTGGAGTAGCATGTTCCGTGCTTCTTGGGGACTATTCTGGACACAAAGCTGGGCAAAAAGACACAGCTGATCAGGTCCCCTGGTTCCTCTGAATGAAATTATGCAGTAAGAGCCTTGGCCTACACACCTGAGGGGCCCATGAAACCTTGGGGCCTTCCGTGCTGCCATCAGCAAGCACCCCACTCAACTTGGGGTGTTCAAGGGCTTGTTTCATTACCCCCTTCTAACAGCTGGATCAGATTTTCTATGGGATCCCCACAGCTCAAGTACTAGCTCCTCTTGGTCTCTGGTGCAAGAGAATGCCAATGATGAACACCAGTGACACTAAACTCTGAAGGAACCAAGCAAAGAGCACAGACACTCTTGTCTGTGGCCACACTGTCCACCAGGGGAAGCAGCTTCTATTAACATTTGGGATTGCTCTTTCAATGTGACAGCTTCTATCTGTTTTAAATTCCCTACCTTCATTTGTTTCATCAGCTCAAACATCTGTTCTGGTGGCAAACTGGCAACTGCTCTGCTAATGGATTCCGGAGCATCTTCAGGGCTGATGGGATCTCCATAGGGAGATTCAATGATGGGGGCACCAGTGCCAAGGCCTAATCAGGACGGATACAACAAAATTCAAAACATTGCAAAATGCAGAGCTGCTTGTTAACATTGGCATCTTTAAACTGTTTCATAAACCCTGCACAGGCTATATCTGGACACCATGTCCAGATACCATATGAAGGCAACAGCTTTCCCAGCCTGAGCATTTAGGGCACAGGCACTCCCTCCTCTTTATCTGACACAGTGGAAACTATGGAAAGCAAATGTTTACCAACAAAGCTTCTGAATTTTGATGATGAGAGATTTTTAAAGATGTTGAAATTCTCTACTACATTGATAGGATTCCAGTAGCAATTGGTATCGCATAACATCAGTGAACACATCCATCTAACGGTGAAGTGAAATTAGCAGAAATTCCAGAAGCTTATGGACCTGAGCATTGGGAATGGTACTTCAAGTGCCCTATTTAACACCAGGTGGATCCCCCATTAGCTGTACAATGACCCTCCCGCAAAGAATTACAAAAGGAAAATGACAATCCTTTGAGTGGAAGCCAAAAAGGCTGATCCGAGGCCAAAGCTCCAGGAAACAGAAAGACTTAATGGAACTCACAGGGGACAGGCTCGAAACATGACCAAGAAGCCATTCAATCCACTCAGTTGGAAGTGTACTCTCTTTAGTAGGGGGTTAAATGAAGACATGCATCCTGTATTAAATAAAAAGCCATTTCCATTCCAGCTTTGTGGTTCTCAATGTAAGTCAAGAGAAACGATTTTGCTGTGAAGAAGAGATGGTTTTCTTTTTTCTTTAACTAAATTTCTTTTCTTTCTTATTTCCCCAATAGTCAAGTATTTTTTCCCCCTTCTCTCCCTCCACCAGAAAAAGAAAAAAGCAAAGCAAATCCTCTGTAACAAATAAGCACAGTCAAGCAAAACAAATTCCCACACTGGCCACGTCCCAGAACATGCGCTGTGACTGAGGAGGTAGGTAGCAGCACTCTTCAGTGTTGGTCGTCTGGAACCGTGCTGTCAAACTCAAATAGCAAGGTGACATCAGGGGCTCAGAAAATCACAAATTAACATTACCTATGTTGTACTGTACTTTTATTTTGTTAAATGTCTGACAATTATATTTGAATTTAATTCCCCCTGAGTCTGACTTCTCTGCTCTAGCAGATTCATTGGTTATTGCATTGACCAGAGTTCTTAAGTCGTAAAAATCCTTCATTTTTTCACAATGTATAAATTGTTCTCCTGGTTCAGAGATCTTCCTAGGTGGCTCTGAAACTTTCTTCGGACACAACAGCATTCAAATACATTCATATATAATTTTCTTAGCTATTCCCAATTGATGAGCTCTCCCCCTCAAGCCTCCACCCCTCAATTCTAGTTCTTTGTCACCATTATAAATATTACAAATAATTACAATATATTTTATTAGATTTATTTATAATATATTTGTTATAAAAACTATTAAACATAAGTAAATATTATAAATAAATAAAGAGCTGCTATAAATATTTGTGCGAGCATGGGCCCTTTTCCTCTTTCTTTGATCTCTCTGAGGCATATGCATAGTAGTGGCATCATTGGCTCAAACAAACGCAGTTAGTAACTTCTGGGCCATATTTCCAAACTGCCTTCCAGAATGGCTGAACTAGTTCACTAGTGTGTGACTAGTGTGTCAATATGACTATTTCTTGCTGTAGCCCCTTTGATGTTTGTCATTTTCCCTTTTTGTCAATTTTGCCAACCTGATGGGATGTAAAATGGAATTTCAGAGTTCTTTAATTTGAATTTCTCTAACTTACTGGTGATTTGGAACATTTTTTTTTTCATATGGTTACAGATAACTTGGAATTCTTCCCTGGAGAACTGCCTGTTCACAGCTTTCGACCATTTGTCAACTGCAGAATGGCTGATGCTTACAAAACTGAGTAAGTTCCTCATAATCAAGCCTTTATCAGTGAAACTTGTTGCAAAGATTTTCTTGCTTGTTTCTTTTTTAATCCTGGCTGCACTGGATTTGTTTTTACAAACCCTTTTTTATTTTGCATAATCAAAATTGTCTACTTTTATCTTCCATGATCCTTCCTATCCCTTGTTTAGTTATAAAGTCTTTTCCTATTCAGATTTGAAAGGTAATTTCTTCCTTGTTCTGCTAATGTATTTATGATATGATCTTTGATATCTAGGTTCATATATCCATTTGGAGTTTATCTTGGTATGTGGTATGAGGTATTAGTCTAGTTCTAATTTCTGCCAGACGGCAGTCCAGTTTTCCTAGCAATTTTTGTCATGCAGCAAGCCATTACTCCAGTAGCTGGGAGCTTTGGGTTTATGGAGCACGAGGCTACTGTGTTCATTTTCTTTGCTACACTGTATAGTTAACCTGTTCCATCAACCTCTCGTTATTTAATCGGTACTAACTAGTTTTGATGATTACTGCTTTCAGATCTGATAACTGGTAGGCTTTCTTCTTTCCTCCTTTTATTCATTACTTTCTTTGACCTTTGTTCCTCTAGATAAATTTGTTCTTGTTTTTTACTTTTCTGTAGCTCTATAAAGTAATCATTTGGCAGATTGAGTGGTATAGCACTGAGCGAGCTCATTTAAATGTTATTGTCACTTTTATCTGATTGGCTTGGCCTGACCATGAGAAATTACTATTTCTCCAATTATTTATATCTTTTTCCATCACGTGCTTTATAGTTGGATTCATACAGTTCTTGTGTGTATTTTGATAGGGAGACTGCCAAGTATTTTTATATATTCTGCAGTTATTTTAAGTAAACTTTATCTCTTCTTGCTGGGCTTCACTGGTAATATACAGGAATGTTAATGACTTAGGTGGATTTGATATCCTGCACTTTTGTTCAATTCATTGTTTCAATGAATTTTTAGTCGACTCTCTAGGGTTAAGTATATCATCATATCAACTACAAAAAGTCATGATTGTTTTCTTTTTGCCTATGCTTATTTCCTCAACTTATTTTTCTTGTCTCATAGCCACGGTTAGTATTTCTAGTACTGTAGTTTTTTTCCCCTTGAGATTATGTATGTAGTGATTAAAAATTAGGTGAGACTGAAGTTTGTGAACTCTTAAGTGACAGTAACTTTTGTCAGTGGATTTTATAAAATAGTAAACAGAAGTTGCTGATGGGCAGTATAAAAACAAATACCTTTGCATTTTTCTCCCTCCCATCTGTTGATCTTGGTTAGGTTAGCTAGCCAATTTTACAAATCAGTAAAAAGCTATAACTTCACATTAGTATGTAGGCTTTCTCAGCTATTTTTTAACAGGACTGAGGTCACAGATTTCTAGAGGATGGACATTCCTGGGTGGATACCACAGAAATACCACAATATTCTAAATGTCCAATTATTTCCACAGTGGGTAGCAAGCATCAATGACTCCCTTAGCTCAAGTACAAGCCTTGCCTTCTAGTAACTGAGGATCTCAAGGCAAACTAATCTTCAGGTTGTCATTTATTGACATTTCCTTAATATGTAATATTTTCATCATCTCTGTTGACAAAACCAGTATTTTATCTTGGGGAATCTCGTGGAACTGAGTATTTCACCATGTTCCAAAAATGGGAATCCTTTGTATCCTTAAGCCCACTGCCTCATGATACCCACAATGTGGGTTCTGTGACTGGACTCACTCTTTAGTTCCTCCTTGTTCTTCTCACTAGCAGCGTTGTCTACTCGAAGTGCTCTCCCACTGAACTCACGGCCATTCAGGTTCCTCATAGCACTGAGGGCTGTTTCTTGGTCCTGATATTCACAGAAGCCATAACCCTTTGGTTTCCCTGTTTCTCGATCATATACCAACCTGAATGGGAAAAACGAAGAATGGAGCACAACTTTTACATATGGAACACAGGTGTCTTGTCCGCATGTCTTCATTAGGATGGAACTTTCTAATTCTAGCCCCTGAAGTCTTCTCCACTAAAATCTTATCAAGGGATCAGGAAGGATTAACTTTTTGCTTAGAATCCAGTTAAAGAATTACTAGTAAAAATCTATTTGTAGGAGGTTCCTAAGAAGAAACTTTGAGAAGCATTAGGAAAGAAGGGCCTCTTACCTGAAACTGACAACTGGTCCAACTTCAGAGAAGATATCCTTTAACTGTTCTTCTGTAGCTTCATAAGGAATGTTGCCCACTAAGGAGAAAAAGGTAGGAAATAAATATGAAATTCCAGCTTCCCAGTAGACAATTTCAGGGAAAAATTAAGTGACTAGAACCCAGAGGCCTCCATATGCCATGGCATTTCTAGAAATCAGGGAGAAAACACCTGTTCCTAGGTCCGTGATGTTCTATGTCTTCCTACCAACTCAGGGCGAACAATCAAATAAAGTTAGACGGTAGAGGGAGCAACTGATTTCTCGCCTGAACTACTTTTATAACAAGTAGGCCTTGATTTCAAACATCAGAGCTATTCGGCGGATTCCTCTCCATTTATTCCTCTTTCTCGGCCCACCCCCAGCCTAAGCTTCACCTGATGCTCGAGAATGACGCCCCCCCCCAATCGAAAAGTGCCCGTGAAAATCCAGGGACTGGATTCTTCAGGCAGTCTTAAAAAGCTGGAAGAGCCCTTCTCGGGGTACCTCTATCCCACCTCGGTCCCCACCCCACAGTCGCCCTGGCTATGAGTTTCCCAAGGGGGAGGAGGGGCGGTGCGACCCTTCCCTTTTCCACCCACCCCCACCTTGGTGGGGATGAGGCTGTGGGCTACATTCAAAGGCTGCCTGGCCACCACCGTAAACGGAATAACAAAGTGCCCCGGCCCCTGCCCCCTGCGCCAAGTTGTTCCTCAGGTTCAGGTTGTCCCATTCAGGGTAGGGGGCTACGGAGGCCCTGGCCCTGGTTTTGTTTCGCATCCACCGGGAGCGAGACGATCTTTTCCGGCGGCGCACGTTTCTGCAGAAGCTTTGCGGAGCGCTACTCATGCCCAGTTCAGAGGGGCCGGGCCAGCGCTCCGCCGCCTGCAAGTCCGGCCGCCAGCCAGCGGCCGGGCTCTCATAAGGAGCCAACCCTCTTCCCTGATCCGAAGGGGAGAGCCCGGGATCTGGGCCCGAAGGGCTGGGAGAGGGTCGGAGGCAGCCGCGAGGAAAAGGGAGGGAAGCCCAAGAGGCGCGAGACACCCAGGCGCGAGCTCGAAGAGCCGCGGTTGCCGGGTGCCGGGAGCACGCGCACTGACTCAAGCATACGCAGCACGCTGTGCCGGCTGACCGGGTTCGAAGCGCCCGCTGCCCTCCCCCCTTTCTCCCCCCCAGCCCCCCCGGCCGAACGCGCCCGGTACGCAAGCTCCCAGGGTCGAGCGCGCGACACCCAACCTCCCCTCTGCCACCCCTCCCCCCCTCCCCCGTCTTCTCCCGGCGGCCCGCCGTCCTGCCCTTCCTTCCTTCCTTCCTTCCTTTCCTCCTTCCTTCCTGCCGGCGTCCCAGCCCAATTTCCCCCCTGCTGCGCAGCTCGGCCTAACAAGCCGTGCAGCCCGCAGGCCACCCTTGTGGCGAGGGCCGCTCACCGAACACGGAGCGCAGTGATCGATCTACCGCAGGGTCCCGGACCGCCAAACCCGCCATCGTCCTCCGTGCTCGCTTCCGGTGCGAGCACAAGTGCTTCTTGCGCCTACCCACACTTCCGCAGTACGCGAGGGGCGGCCCCCTTCATAGGGGCGGCCCTCGGCTTCTCGCAGGCATTCTTCCGTAAAAAGCAGCAGCGGGGACAGTGGCCTACAGCCCTGCCTCCTGCCCGCGGCGGCCTGGAGCGGGACGGGAGAAATCCCAGTGCGCTTTCAGCCGGCTCTACTTTTCGCAACAAAGAGGCCTTCCCAGTTTCCAGGAAACCTGCCCCCAGCGGGCGGGCCAGCGCTCGGGGTTAGAACCCCTGAGCGCTCCGCGCTCTCTCCCGGCCCCGCCTTCCTCCCGCCTTCCCTCCATCGAGCTAGCCCCCCTCCCTCTCCCCGTCTAGTTCCCCCGCCCCGCCCAGACTGAGGGCGGTGCCTCACTAAAGATGGCGTGCCTAGCGTCAGCGGCGCTACGCTGAAGCCCTCCGTCGGCCTCCGGGACCGCTTCACTTCGGTTCCTCCCGGGAGCGGGAAACGCGCGGCCCCGCCCCGGCGCCCGCCCTTGCTCCGGCTGACGCCGAGTGCATGGAGCGGGATGCAGCTGCCGGGACGAGCGCCGCCGAGGCCCTCGGCCCCCAGGGCCCGGGAGCTGGAGCGCCCGAGGGTACGCTTAGGAGGGTGCACAGAGTCCGAGGGGACAGGGGAGGGGCTTATCCGGGAGCGAGGTGGGGTGGGGTGGGGGCGCAAGCTCCATGTGCTCGGCGTGGCGGCGGCGGCGCGGGGCGGGCCCCGAGGGCCGGGCCCTGCCTGGCAGATCGGAGAAGCTGACGAGCTTGCTCCTCCGCGCCCCTTTGGGGAGCCTCTCTCGTCAGGGCCCTCAGGCCACCCGGCCAGAAGGCGGCGCAGCCGGGCCCGGGCACAGCTGGAGGAGTAGAGCGGCGGCGGCCCAGGCGGGAGGAGGAGGAGGCCTCAGCCTCGGGCCTGGCCATCTCCCGGCCTCCCCCCTCTCTGGAGCCTGGCACCTGGGCGAGCGCCTTTGTCTCCCCGCCAGCCGTGCCCCGAGGAGGCGCTTGACCCGGAGGACTGCCTGGCGGGCGAACGAATGAATGAAAGGCTGCCGAGGCAGCGGCTCTCCGCCGGGCGCTCTCCCTAGTTCCCGAGGCTTCTCTCCACTTTGCTGCTTGCCTCCCCTGTCTCTTGAGCAGCAGCAGCCCAGGAGCTAGCTGGGCCTCCGAATGGCCAGGCTCAGGGAGGCTTCAGGCACAGAACCAGGCAGGCATGCAGTCACAAGCATTTATTAAGTGCTCCCTACGTGCCAGCCACTGTGCTGAACACTGAGGATACAGAGAGAGGCAAAATCCCAGTTCCTGAACTCAGGGAGCTCCCAGTCTAATGAGGGAGACAGTATGCAAACAACTGGGCACATAAAAGATGGGTGCAAGGTAAGCCTTCAGGGACAAAGGTGAAGAGGGAGAGTCACCCCAACCCCCAAGGCACTGAAAAGGGTGTTGCAGCATCTTGTGTGACAGTGGGGAAGGAGCTGGATTGTAGAGGGCAGGAGAGGGAAGTAAGGTGTAAAACACTGGAAAGGCAGGTAAGGGTCAGGTCATAAAGGGCTTTAAAGGCCAAACAGGATTTTCTCTTTGATCCTGGAAATAATAGAGAGCCACTGCAGCTTATGAGGTGGGGTAACATGGTCAGACCAGTACTTTAGGCAGATCATTTTGGCAAGTAGAGGACTGATTCTAGAGGGGAAAGACTTGAGACAGGAAGACCGAATAGGCATTGCAGTAGTCCAGGGGAGAGTGTGGGTGGCAGGAACTAGGGTGATGGCTGTGAGCGAGGAGGAAGGCAGAAGTATCAGATCTGACAACAGATTGGATAGATGTGACCTATGAGAATGAGAAGCTGAGGATGCTACCTGGGTCAGGAACAGGAAAGTTGGGAAAAGGGGAGGCTTTGGAGGAAAGGTGATTTGTCCTTTAGACATGCTGAGTTTGAGATCTGGACAGGACATCCAATTCAGGATGCCCAAAATGCAGTTGGAGGTACAGGAACTGAGCAAGGGAGAGAGTGTGGATATCTAGGTCTAGGCATTACCAAGTGACTTCAGCTACCACCTATTCCACCTGCTTCAGCAGGACTTCCCCGTACTCCCTGTGCCCTTAGTAGTCATTTAGCTGTAGCCCAGTGGATACTCTACTCCCCATTGCAGACTGTTTTGCTTGTTGGGCAGTTTGTCCTCTCCATCAGACTTAAAGTGGCTTCTTTATACTTCTTTTAGCTTCGGCCCCCTTAAAGATCTTAGCTGGAAAAGGCCAAGGTCCCCTACTGCATTCTGGGCCGTCTCCAGTTGTCCTGATCTATATCTGGCCACTGGACCCAGATGGCTCCAGAGGAGAGAGTGAGAGCCCTCCCCCACTTAAATCCAGCTCACTTGCATGTCATAGCATCACCTCCCACATGTCCTGGTCCTCTTCAAGAACACAGGAACAGCAAGAACAGCAACCCTGGCCCCTAGGGCCAAAGAGGGCAAGTATATCTCACCCCTTTTCCTAGTGTTAGCCATCGTGTCACCTAGCATCTTTTCTCTTCCAAACTGAGCTTTAGCCCTTCCTTTAGCTGACCCTTAGAGAATACAGGCCAGAAGCCCTTTGTCACCCTTGTCGTTCTGAAGACAGTTATGTGACACTTGAGTCACATTTACAGTCCCCGTTGCCCAAAGAGCTGGGTGAATGCCATGTGCCCAGTAGGTCATAGAGCCACCCTTGAGCACTTAAATACTTTGGGGTCTTTGGAGAGCCACAGATTGCAGGTAAGAAGAGTTGGCTCTATATCACTTTTCTGAAAAGAAATTGTTATGTCCGGATGTTTTTATAAAAGGTAATCAGGGGTGTTTGGGGTTTAGAACCCTAATCTCTGAGGCCCTGTTGTGACAAGTGACCACACTCTCCCACACAGTCAGTCAGTGTCTGTATCAGAGGTAGAAGGTTATCCTTGATGGAACAAGGCTCTGAAACCCAGTGTGGCATTTCTTTTTTAAAAACTTTTCCCCCCCTTTTTAAAAATTAATTTCTTTTGATTTATCAACAATCACTTCCGTAAGCTTTTGAGTTTTAAATTTTTCTCCCCCTCCTTCCCTCCCCACAGTCTAATATAGGCTGTACATATACATTCTTATTAAACACATTTCCACATTAGTGATGTTGTAAGTATGAATTAGAACCAATGGGAGGAACCACCAGAAAGAGGAAACAAAACACAACAGAAGAAAAAAACCCAGCAAATAGTCTGCTTCGATCTGCATTCAAACTCCATAGTGCTTTCTCTGGATGTGGAGAGCATTTTCCATCATGAGGCTTTTGGAGATGTCTTAGATCTTTGTATTGCTGAGAGGGGTTAAGTCTATCAAACTCAGACATCACTCAGTGTGGTTGTTACTGTGTATGACAGTCTCCTGGTTCTGCTCACTTCACTCAGCGTCAAACCATACAAGTCTTTCCATGTTTATCTGAAGTCTGCCTGTTCATCATTTCTTACAAAAACATTTTTTAAAAATTATTCTGAACTTTAAAAACACCAAATAAAATGAGTTCAGGTGCAAGGTGGAAGAGAAAAAGAAGATTGTACATGGAACTGTGACTATTATTACATATAGCTTGCTTTTCTTTTTAAAGTACATAATAAATTCAGCCTGTAGCTTTCAAAGCTGTCTGGCTCATTTGTTTCTTCTGGCTTTCCTTCTGTGTATTTTTAAAAAAATGCTTCAATGATATTTTCTTCCTTTTCCTTTTTTTTTTTTGGCAAACCCTATTGCTAGCCCCTCTGTCTTTCCAAATTGGAAAAAGAAAAGAAAAGGAAAACAGTACCCCGAAACAAATATACATAGTCAAGCAAAACAGATTCCCACATTGGCCATCTGTGAACGTGTATATCTGCTGCTGCCAGTGTGTTATTTCCTAACAGTGAGACTCTGCTCACAGCCCCTCATAGCCTCTGCCTACGTTGTCACGCAGGTATGCTAGTGCCATGGTTCCGGGAGAGCTAGGCTATTTACTGACATGGAAGTGTGGGCCAGGAGCTCATCTGGCTGCTTGCTGTCTCCCAGTGTGCATGGTGGATGAGTGGTTCTGCCTTTTCAGCAGCTTTTCCAAGGCCCTGGAGAAGCAAAGTACCGAGCTCCATTCAAAGCCCTGGCTTTGTTTCAGAGTTTCCTTTGCAGTCCATATGCTGGGGGCCTTTTCCTATACCTGTCCTGGGCAATCTTTTCCTGCTGTGGGGCTCCAGGCATGAAGGCTGAATACAGATATGGGGCATGGGACAGACCAGGTGCATCCCTGGCCTGGAAAGGTGGACACTTCTGGGCTTCCTCTCCAACTGAGCCTCTACATTTTCTTTCCTCCAGGCTCTAGCACAATGGAGGGCGAAGGTGGAAAGTCTGAGGTTATTGTGGCTGTTGTGACAGAGCCTCAGTTTACACAGCACTGCAGGTATGAGAAGGTTATGGGGGCATCTCAGGGAGATTGTTGCTTGCAGAAATGGGATAAAATGCATTTGGCACTTGGAGCAGAGGAGAATCAAGACTTAGTGAAGGACTGTAGGGTGATAGATCCTGAATTAGGGGGCACAGTGGTAGCACTGGTTTTGTGAAGGCCTCAGCCCTTATGCCCACAACCTGAGAAGCTGTTGTGACAGGATAGATATGAGGCCAGCTGAGGCATCTAGGACTGTGGGGACATTGTGGAGACCCAGAGAAGGTCAAACCTTCAAGGCTTGGGATTAATGCTACCTTGTGGCTTGCCCACCTTGAAGCTCCTTCGCCCTGGAGCCAAATCCCTTGTTGGTCCTACAGGGAATATCTTGAGAAGCACCGACTCCTAGATAGGCGTCACCGTGTGAAGCAGCTGCCCGATGGTACCATGGCACTACCTATTCTGGGAGAGACCCTCAGTGAGCAGCACCTCCAGGCACTGAAGCAGCGAGGGGCCCCTGACAGCACCTGCAGGCTGGCACAGATCCTGGTCAGTATCTGGGTGAAGGCCCTCCTTGGCAAGAATAGAATTTGGCACTGATGATCCCTGAGCATGAGACCCTGAGTTTAACACTGCCACCCTCAGACTGGTTCTCTGGGTCCTGGGGAGCTTTTCATTGAGGGTGTAGCCCTGAGGCTACCTTTCGAAGGGTAGGTAACCCTTTGTCCAGGGTAACCATTGTCCAGTCTACCAGATCCAGTTCTTCATTCTAGCACGCAGGTTTTGGCATTCGAATTCCCCATGTATATGTCCCCTGTGTACATCTCTTCTGTGTTCCTTTCCCAGAATCCTGTCCCCTCTAAGAAATCTCAGAACTGTTCTCCTGCCCAGAAGCTATGTCAAGAACTGCGGTGTCTGGTGGAAGGCCAGGGGCACACATGGTCAGCTGAGCTAGAGAAAGATCTTCCCCACTCCTGGCAACGTCATGGTGACCTCCTTCTCCTCAATGAAGATAGCTTCAGAGCTGCCCATTGGAAAAAACTGGGTAAGTGAAAGAAGTATCCCAGGCTTCCTTGTGGGTGTCTCTGAGGCAGCCTCATCCCCACATCCCCTTTGGGGGCTGTGCTTTGTTGCAGAACCAGGACTCTGGAAGACTGTTGCCTCTGCCCTGGGAGGCCAGCGTTTGGCAAAGCGAGGGCGTGTGTCACCAGGTGGGACGCGAGCTCCCAAAGTAATCCTGCTGCTGGGTGCCCATGGCTGGGTGGAGCATGTGGATAATGGCATCAGGTAGGTTCAGGAAGGGATGGTGACCCAAGGGAAACTCGTTTGAGGGTACGGGCAGAAGGGAGCAGAAGGGCTGGTGAGGGCATCGCCTCAGGGCTCTGGAGCACCAGGCACTATTTCTTGTTGGTGGCACTTGGGCTGAGCCGTAGAGCTTGGGGCTGAGAGAACCTCTCATTCCTTCATGCACTCTTCTCTGCACTACCTAATGGAGTGCCCCCACTTCTTGGGGGGCACTCAGAAGTTTGAGGATGCTAGCCATGTTGTTCACTCGGCCCCTCGGTATATTGATTTCCCTAGGTACACGTTTGATGTGACCCAAAGCATGTTCTCCTTTGGAAACATCACTGAGAAGCTGCGGGTAGCATCAATGGCCTGTGCTGGAGAAGTGCTGGTGGATCTCTATGCAGGTGACAACCTTTGGGAGCAGTCTCTTGAGTTAGGGGCGCTGCTCTGGTCAGGAGCAATGCTGTCAGTGCTAGACCGTGAGAAGCTTTTTGGTAGGCTTGCTCTGTGCTGATGCCAGAGGGGCCTGGATAGAGGCCTAGCTTCAGACAGAGTCGGAAGGGACCTTGGAGGTCATCTGCACAGGAGGACACTCAGGCAGGCTAAGCAAGCGTGTAGAAGGCATTAAGTGGCAAAGGTGTGATTGGAATCCAGGTCCTCTGTTAATTTAGTCTCCTCTTTTGGAGTGTCCCCCGCCCCTTACTTTGACCATACCCCTTCACCACTTATATCTCCTCCCTTCCTTCCTTTTTTCCATCCATCCATCCATCCATTCATTTGTTCTTCTCTGTACCAGGTCCAACGTGGTTTCCCTCAGCAGTTTTCACCAGAGTCCCTGCTTCAGACTGTTTCACTACTTTTCTTCTCTTCCTCTATCATGGCCTGCCCATAAGCCTTCTCTCAAACCATACCTAATTCTGGAACCTTCTCTTCCCCTCCCTGGGATCTCCAGCTGGATTACCAAGCTCTCTTGCTTCCATTTAAATGACTTTTGAGATCCTGACTTCTCCATGTGTCCTTCTGAGGGTGACTAGAGAAGGGAGAATGCCTTCTTCCCTCCACCCCTTCCCCCCCCCACTCTCTGCCTGGCTAGGAAGTAGCCTGACTTTCCACACCAGAAACGCACTTAACCCTTGGCATGGATATGATGTAAATACTTGAATTCTGTTTTCTTTCTGTCTTCTGTATTTTTGTCTGCATCAATGTTGTCTGTGTCAGATCCTAGGGCCCTAGAAGGCAGGGAACATGTATCTGTCCAGTGCCTCTCCAGCACCATGGTCTAAATGGTGCCAACTAGATGCTTTTTGATGTATGTTTGTATGATTCTGATTCCTTTTGGGACAGGAAGTTCCGAATATGGTTCTTAAGTAGCTTGAGGAAGAATGTTCAGTTGTCTTGTTCTGAAATAGATTGAGGGAGTTGGTTTCTTCTGTCCTTTCTAACCCTATCCTTTGGCTATCAATCAGCTGGCAAGTATTAAGTGCCTACTCTGTGCCAGGTGCTGGGCTATGATTGTAGGGAGCTGCTGTGTAGCTTTGACAGGCAGAGTAAGCTGTGTGCTGTGCTGTGAGCCAGATGTTGCCTTTCTGCATGTCACTCCTCAGGCTTTCACCTGCCAGTAGCATCCGTGTGGCTGAACCTCTTCCCTTTGTAACCTCGTCCCTTGTTCCTGATGGCCTAGACGGTTTCTCTTCCCACGGGAGACTACTGTTCGTGGGTCACAACGCACATAAGAGCGTGGAGCCCGCATTGGTCTGAGAAGGCTTAGCCACTCAAGGCCTTCATCCTTGTCTCCTCTCTCTCCAGGGATTGGTTACTTCACCTTGCCATTCCTGATTCATGCAAATGCTGCTTTTGTCCATGCCTGTGAATGGGATCCTCATGCCGCGGCAGCCTTGAGAAAGAACTTGGAGCTCAACGGTGTTGTGGATCGGTGCTGTATCCACCTCGGCGATAACAGGCAGGTGAGTGAGCGGAGCTGAGCAAGCAGGAGCTTGGATCTGGACCGTTGCCTCTTCTCCTGCCCTCCTCTCCAAAAGCCAGTCCCAGGACTTGCCTAGGCCCCCACCCTTCCTCAGGAAAACTCAGGCAGCTTTGGAGCTGGAAGGTACCTTAGAGATCGTTGAGTTGAACCCCTTCATTTTGTACCTGGAGAAAATGAGGTCCTGAGTTGTTTGCTATGATCATCTCACCTCCTGGGACTCATATGCTCTTGATGTGGAAGGCCATCCTGAGAAGAAGAGCGCTGCCTGCTGGTTCCCTCAGAGGGTTGGAGCTAGGTCAGGAAGATAATGGAGTGGTTGTCATAAAGCCTCAGCTCCTTCCAGCGTGGGGGCTTAAATATGAAGTTAGGGGCCCTAAAAGGAGCTGGGATACCTAGGGATAGGGAAGCCCAAAGGAAAGAGGTCATTATCTGCTCTGTGAACTACTTGTCTGACAGCATGTTTCAGAGCGTACTTTTGTCAAAGAGAATTTGGAGGAGCCAGCTGAGCATCCAGTAGGTGCTTAGCATAGTGCCTGCTGCATAGTAGGTACTTAATAAATGCTTGTTTCCTTCCTTCCCTTCCTTCCTTCCTCCCCTTCTCCCTCTCTCCCTCCCTCCCTTCCTTCTTCCCTTCCTCCCTTCCTCCCTCTCTCCCTCCCTCCCTCCCTCCTTTCCTCCCTTCCTCCCTTCCTCCCTTCCTCCCTTCCTCCCTTCGGGCCTTTAATGTGAGGTCCTGCTGTTCCACTCACCACCCTCTCTCTCTCTCTCTCCCCCCACCTCTTTTAGCTGAAGTTATGGAGCATTGCTGACAGGGTGAACTTGGGGCTTATCCCCAGCTCTGAGGAGGGCTGGCCCACTGCCTGCCGGGTGCTGCGCCAGGACACAGGGGGCATCCTGCATATCCACCACAATGTGGAGTCCTTCCCAGGGAAGGAGCTTCAGCTCCCCAGCAGCAGTGAGGCAGGGCAGAAGGAGCAGAGAGCTGCCAGAAATTCAGGAAGGCAGACACCAGCAAAGATCGCCAAGCTAGAATGGCAAAAGTGGGCTGAGGCTGTGGCTGCCCGCATTGGAGCCTTGCTGCTACAGCTGCATGGGAAGCCATGGGAGACCCGAATCCTGCATGTTCAGCCAGTGAAATCTTATGCTCCTCATGTGGATCATGTGGTCTTGGATCTGGACTGTCGCCCCTTCTCCTGCTCGGGTGAGGGTGTTGGTAAAGCTGAGAGGAGCTGTGGCCAGGGGCCTAAGGTCTGAGGCCTGGGGTCCAGGTGGCTGGGAGTTCTGAGGTCAGCAGCTTACTTCCACTTCTAGCTCCCTTAGCCCCTAGAAATGAATCTTTTACATTTTTATAAGGAATTTTTAGAGTGACTGGTTATTAGACTCTCTCTTCCAAGGGCTTGGTGTAAATCTGAGACTGAGCACTGTAGTCGCCAAAGTCTTGTCTTCCGCTCTTCTCTTCCACTAATCATGACAAGTTGTCTTATTTATAAACCTAGCAAAGGCAGAAAAGCTTGTTGAACTGAGTGCACTCTGCAGAGCCCTGGGTTCTGCAGTTTGGCCTTAGCTCCGTCTGTGTGGCCGTAGACAAGCTGCTGCTCTCTTGGACTGTTGGCTTTGAGTCTCCTCATCTCAGAGATGGGGTTCTCTCTGAACTACCTCATGTAGCTTTTGTCTATGGAGTGTGGGTTTTTCATGAGTTTCTTAGAATTGGAGATGCAGTGCTGGCAGCCTCTTGGAGAGCTTTGGGGACGAAGTCCATGGCACTGCTTCTGGTTGCTGGCATATGGTGGCTCTGGTGAACGTGAGCCAGAGTGGACCAAAGTGATGCCAGGTCTCGAGCGGCCTTGTCAATGCTTGTCCTGATGTCTCATAACTTTGACCTTCTGAATAGCTTCTTATTTTGACTGACCAAGGTATAAGAGTGCTGCTAGAAGCTTGCTAATTGTGCTTGGTTTCTCGAGAGTGAATGTTGAGTTTTCAGGACAGGTTTGTATTTCTTAGGGCTTTTCGGCTGGACTCCCTGCTCTTAAGGGCCCAGGTTTACCGTGTTCTCCCCTTGTGATGCCCAAAGTGCTTTCCAGCCAGCGTGGGCCAGCTGGATTTTGAAGCAATGTATTATGATCTCCCTTCTCCTCTGCTTGTCTTAAGTCTCGGTATCAGGACCTGCACCAAGAAAAGGGCTAGAAACAGAGTCAAGATGCAGGGGTGGTGAGAAGTTAGGGAGTCCCCAGAGTTGTACTTTCCCACTCACGGAGGCTCATGGAATTTCTAAGTCAGAGAATTGAAGCTCCATTTTGTTCAAGGTGCCATTCCTACCCCTCCTACTGACCTCTCGCCCACCATTCCTGCAGTCCTTGCCAAGAGAGAAGAGGGGAGCAGTTTGGGAATGTTGAGCAGCCGGCTGTCCATCCTACCAATTGCTCCCTCTCTCTCAGAGGACCTTGTACTCTCCCACCTCCTTAGGCTGCCCTTGGCTCTAGGCAGAGATCCTCGTTCGTGAACTCAAATGATCATGGCAGGCCATGGGCAAAAGAACGTTTTTTTGGTTATGGAAATGCTTTACACAACCTCCTTTTGAGGAACAGACCACGGCCCTGGTTAAGTGTGACTGGGCCACAAGGTCATCTGCTTGTAACTTTTTTGTAAATGTCCCACAAGAGGCTCCAGCTCTTTCACCTTTTCTCTTCATCCAGGCGCTTTGAAGGTCTGTGCTGGATGGGTTTAAAGAGAACAAAGTGTCAGTGGCAAAGCCCTTTGTCTTGGTATCATAGCTCTATGTGCACATAGTAGGTGCTTAATAAATGCTTAATGACCAGATGAATTGGATGTCCAGAGAGATTGGAATGCCCTGGCCACAGTAAGGGCTCAGGCCCAGGGCAGGCAGGCAGAACTGGGGTGGCTTACATTAGAGAAGCAGTCATATTGATTAGGGCAGTGTTTGGGGAAAAATCGCCTCAAGCTTTTCTTCTGGGGACCTGGGACAGTCCAGTTGGCAGTGGCAGGCTTTCCTTCTGTCTTGATTGAAAGTAAACATTTTCATGAGACCTGAAGCATAGGAAGATAGGAAATAAATAGGATCTGATGTACATTCAGCCTCTGTAACCGCAAGTGCCTCAATTAATGTGTTGGTTTAAAAAAAAAGAAAGAAAAAGTATGATTGAGAGTCAGTCCAGGAAATGTTCGTTCGGTTCTTGTGTCTGTTAACACAAAACCAGATATGGTGTGTGTGAAGAAACTTGGTTTTTGTTGTGGGAAAAGGGTCACTGTGGGCCCTGGAGGCACGCAGGCCCCTGCATCAGAAGGCTCTGGCTCCAGCTCTGGGCCTTTCTGTCCCCCTAACGACATATACCTTAGCCAACTGAAACTGGTATTGTAGGGAATGGGTGCAGGTGGCCGAGTCAAAGGAAGGAGCAGGAGACTGAGGGCCACCTACCTAATGGAGCATGATGGAAAAGCTTTTATTAGACACTTGCTATGCAGTACGCATTGTGCTATAAGCTCTGGGGATGTAAATACAAGCAAGCAAGATGGTAATGGAGATAGTGAGCTTGTAACATAGGAATCCAAGCATGTGTGACCCTAGAAGCCACCTGAGAACCTGCTTTTCCTCACCTGCTAGGCCAGTAGCCCTGCTGAACCCAAGCATAGAGTGCTAGAGTCAGCGTCGTGAAGATCTGGGTTCAAATCCTATCTTTGATACTTCCTAGCTGTATGACCCTGGGCAAGTTACTTCATCTCTAAGCCTCACTTTCCTCATCTGTAAAATGGAGATAATGCTTGTAGTCCTGGTCTGTAGTATGGGTTGTCATAAGGCCCAATTAAGATAGTGTCTGTAAAGTGCACTAGCAAAATGTCCATCCTTATTCTTTCATGAAAATTCCAAGGGAGTAGTGCTTATCTTTGTATTTTATTTCCCATTGGGGTGGCAAAGGCTTGATCTTCCTCAGAATCCCCATGAACTAAGCCTAGAGCATCAGTTCTACAAAAATATATTAGTCTTAAAGACAGAATTGCATCTTGGCCTCAAACAAGCTTCTGTGGAGAAAAAGATGCCAACCTTTAGCATTTTTCATCCAAGGTAGACTATTTCTCAGAGATCTTTTCAAGCTTGATTAAAGCAGCAACAGCTACTGGAGCTGACAGGTGGTGTTGGCACCTAGCTGGGGCACACTGAAAAGGAGAAGGAATGAGAACAGAAACATGGGAGATGAGAGCCAGGATGAGAGGACCAAGGCCAGGAGGCCAGGTCACAGTGCCCAGGCAGGGGTGTGGCGAGTAACAAACAGGCCCAGAACACAACCAGAGGTTAGAAGCACTCACCCCAGGAGTCTGGCTCCCAAGACATTCAATGTGGTTTGGTAGCCAGAGGGCTCACCATAAGTGTTGGCCAGGTTCACAGGGGTCACTTGGAGTTTTCTACTTAGCTTTGCTTTCCACACCATCAGACCATCCACTGGGCCTACCATACTCTCGTGACTAGAACAGTTGAAGTTTGGCCCCATTGTCTCAGAGCCCGGGTCCTGGTCAGCCCAGCTGCTCTCAGTGATTCTGTGGAAGGTGAGCCTTCGTCTCAGGCCTTGGATTCATTTTCCCACTTGCTCCCATGGACTACAGGTGGGCTAATAGGACAGTGTCTTGTCCCAGGATCATTTCTATCTGAACCCCATCAGAAATGAGAAAGATGAAGCAATAATAACATTTCCTTTTTAGGTTTGTCATGTACTTTACAGATATCTCATTGAGTCTCAATGACACCCTTGGAAGGAAGAGGCCCTTGTGAGCCTCATTTTACCTATTGGGAAATTCACATTCAGAGAAGTGGCTTGCCCAGGGTCACACAGCTAGTAAGTGCCTGAGGCAGGATTTGAACTCACATCTTTCAGATTTTAGGTGTAGTCTTCTAGTCACTGTGGCATGCTGCCTTTCTGTAACATAGGGACTCCCAATTTTTAGCTTCAACTTGAGCCAAAGACTTTCTTAGAAGCTTGGATCTCTTAACAGTCCTTTATAGTCCCGTTTCTCTTTTTCTGACTGATATCACAGAGCTAGACAGAGGTCCTTTGGGAACATAATGGGGCATCAGGATTATGGGATTTACTGGAGAGAAAGGTTGCTCTGACTTGGCTTTTTAATTAACGTCTGTTTCTGCTCTGCCTCGAGCTAATTGGGGTGGACTCCTAGCCTCTCTCCTTTGGCTGGAGCCTGCGAGCTATAATCCCACTGTGTGGGGGGCATGTCCACAACTGGGTAGTGCCTGTGCCCGTATTAGCAGCATAAGTCTTCCCTGCCCAGGTTAAGGACCTTCCCAATTGCGTTTTGCTGTCCTCCAGCACTGTTGCCTCAGGACACCCCACATTATCACACTTTTGCTGTTCTTTGGCTGGAAACTAGACCAAGCAGAATCTTGTCCCCAGTAGGAGCTTATTCCTAGTATGCTTTGCATGTTTCCTTGCTCTGATAAATGCCACTTTCCCAGGTCAGCCCTCACCTTGGCTCTAGCTCCCCGAACAGCCAAGAAGGCAGTGTCTCTGTGCGATTTACAAATGGCCCAGGTGTGGGCTGCTGGTCAGCCCATCTGTGCACTCCTTAGCAATGCTCTCAGAGTGCACCCCCTGTCCTGCTCCCTCTTAGATTGCCTTCAGACCTTTGGCCTCCTGCCTGCCCTGTCTCACTAGGATGCCCCTAATGTTTGGGTAGTTTGTTCCTATAAGAAGAACTTAACTGATAGGAAATTAAGCACATTGTCTCATAATCACGATGGCCCTCACTTTGGGTATCTTCCTCTCCTTCAAATAGTTTAAGAATCTATCCCTTGAGGGGCAGCTAGGTGGCACAGTGGATACAGCACCAGCCCTGGATTCAGGAGGACCTGAGTACAAATCCGGCCTCAGACACATAACACTTACTAGCTTGTGACCCTGGGCAAGTCACTTAACCCCACTGCTTAGCCAAAAAAAAAATCTGTCCCTTGATGTCCTCCTGGTCATATTGCCTTCTCCAGGTCTACTGTTTCTTTGGTGTCATTTCTGCTTTTCTCCCCCTAATCCCCGCCCCTGACTGTGATGAATGAAATCCAGACATGGTTCCACTGTCCGTGATGGGGAAAAGAATTTATTGGAAAAGCTCTGTAAATATGTGTGTCTTTCATCTGCGTGTTGCTGTCTTCCTGTTTGCATCATGAAATTTCCTCCAAGAAAGTCAACAAGCATTAGCTTACCTGAGTCTCAGAGGACTTGGCTTAGTTGGGTCTCTTGCCAAGCTTTCTTTAGACTTTTTTCCTTCTAGTGTTTCTTGCTGCCTAGTGAGGCAATATTCTTCATAAACTTCTGTAGGATTTTATAAATGGCTTTCTATCCTCACCTTCTGTTGTCCCAGGGTGCCATATTTCCCCTCTTGGAAATGAAATCAAGTGTCTGTGGACTAAGGCAGCTTCGCAGCTTGTATTTGTTATGGCCATTGATTTATATGAGTTATACTTCTGTGTAAAGTTCCATTTGCCAGCAATGTCCTTCCCTCCATCCATTTCCCATTTTTTGGCATCAGCAACTTGGTTAAATAGTTCAGGTTAGAGCTGTTTTTATTGCATAGCATATCTTTTTCTCACCTTCTACCTTTGTACTAATTTTGGTCTTGGCTCTGACAAATCTGTGGTCTGACTGTGCACAGACAATTGATTCAAGGACGACTCATGTTGCCTGTCCTGTTATCATTTGATGTCATGTTATTCACTGCACCCTGCCTCTGAAACATACTGATGGTGTGACCCTGGACAAGTCACTCAAACTCCTCAGTTCTCTAGACTGCTAGTGTCAAACTCAAATAGAAAGTGAGTCCTTTAGGCTGCATATTGACTTAGAAAACCATAAATTAACATTATTATCTGTTGTATTATATTTTTAAAAAACCATTTCTCTATGACATTGTAATCTGGTTCAGGCCCCACTGGGAGTTTTGCAGGCTCCAGGATGCTTGTGACCCATAAATTAGACACCTGTGCTCTAGGCGACTCTCTCAGACTGTGAGTTGCAGAGAAAGTGCATCGGTACAGGGAGTTTCCTTACCTGGGCTTCTCTACAACAGTGAAAGCCCAGGCTAGTCCTTCTCCCCATTCAATGAATGCCATGTTCAGCTCCTTTTGAGACTACTTTTCTCAAAGTATTTCTGCTGTGTGTCTGAGTGGGCTGCTTCTCTGTACTTCCTCAGCCTTTGGCCTTTTGAACGCCTCGTTCCTGAATCATATTTTTCATGTTGCGTGTTCCCCTTCCCCAACATTTTCTGCACCTTGTGAAAACATCCCTGGTACATGTGGCAGTGGGAACCCTGTGTATGCATGCTCCGCTTTCTCCTATTCCTGGCCAGCATCATGCCCAAAATATTTTCATAGGAATACAGCTTTAGTTTGTTTATAGGAATCGGTGGAGAAATAGGATTTGGTATGTAGAAGGTCACTTGCCAGCCATTGTCAGCTTTGCACATGGGCACCCACAGTACACTAGCCATCTGTTGCGCCTTGTCATGAGTCCGAAATACTACGTAGCAGGATTTGGATGAAAAAGAGACTTGGGAGGGCAGTGTGGCCAGCTCTGGATCTGCTCTTATCTTCCTCCTTTGCCTTATCTTATCTCCATGCTTCTGAAGAATAGCAGTGTTGGAAGTGGAGAACCCGGGTTGTTTCCAGTACACTTTCTGGACTGTCTTGGGTGGATAGGAGCTAGAGCACCAGGGAAATGAGAAGTGATTCACTTCTTAGGCTGGTGCCAGCTTAGACTCTGCATAGGCCGCAAAGTATCGTAATCATCCTCATCTCCCTATGGAGTGTAGACAGGTACATGTGGCCATAAGGACCACACATTTGGAGAAGGGAGTGAGTCAGCTCAGGGGCAAAGGGAGGGGGCAGGTAGTTCTTTGTGACCCTCCTCCTAAGCCTGGCAGAATCCTGCTTGCTCACCTTCAGTCCTCTAGCTCCCAGGGAGGGCTGTCTTCCCTGGTTTTCATGCGTGCTCAGGAAGTTCTAAGCCTTAAGCCTGGGAAGATAAAGCCCCACTGGCTAAGCCCACCTCCTTACCCAGAACTCCTTGGAAATAAACCCCAAAGGCCCTACTGGGCCCCAGGGCCTTGGCTTCCCAAACAGCCCTTCAGCACCATGGTGCTGCAGGTGTGTTCTCTGATTGTATCACCCGTAACAACGATCATCTCCTGAGCTAGATCTCATTTCCTGGATGCCAAGGTTGCTCTGTCTTCCCTCAGAATCTGAAGAGCCAGACATGCCTGCTATTTGACTTCTCTCTCTGTCCCTTTGAAAAAAACAGGCTCATTGTTTCTGTTGAGAACATCCTGTCCTTGTCCCCGTCCTCGTCTCTGCAGCCCCACTGCCCAGTGTTTTGCTAACCTGAAATAATTGGCCTTTCTGGCATCTGAGAGAGAGATTAGATTGGGAGAAAGCAGACCCTGCTGGACCAGAGCTGAGCCATTGCAGATGGAGCAGAAGCTCTTCTGATTCGGCTGCTCCAGCTCCAAGGCAGCTTCCTCAAGATCTCCAGCCGCCCACTGAGCTGGGCCATTGCACATGGCCCCGCTGCTGCCCACCTGCTTTCTCTCAGCTGCCCTTGGGACAGTTAGCAGGGGGAAAGCAGGAGAAGGGAGATCACCCTTTGGGAGGTTTCTTAATTTCTCTCTCTTTATTCTCTTTAATCTCGGAGAGACTGTATACCGTAGAATAATGGCTACCAGCCTTTTCCAGAGAGAATCTCTTTTGTATACAGGACAATTTTGAGGATCCCCTCCAAAAGATAGGTAATGACAAATGGATTTAGTAATGCCCTCAAATGGATTTTGTATTTTATTCATCACAGTGGCACCTAATGACCTTTGAAAAATAGTGATATATTTGTGCAAGATGTTATTTATTCATTCTGTAGGAAGAATGCTTGTTTATTATATTGGACCATGTAGTGAGATGAACCTTTGCAATAACTCTGGCCTTCCACAGACTATGGTTTAATGTTAGGAAAATCTGAAGTTTGGGAACCGCCAGTGTCTGGGGAGAGTCAGGAGCCCCAGGTACAAATACTGCCTTGGAGCACTGAGCCAGTTGCCCGCTCAGAGGCTTGTTTTCCTTATCTGTGACATGGGACCAGAATTGTTACCTAACTCACAGCCTGTTGTGACGAGCAGACGGGAACATACCTATAGAGGTCTTCAGAAACCTTCAAGTGCCGAGAGAAATGCAGTTAGTGGGATGATGCTGTGTATGCTCTCTACCTTGTGGGGCGTGGGGAGGGTGGTGCTTTTATTAACTGTGTGCTTTACCTTGAAAATACCCTCTTTCTGTTTGGGGACTTGGAGACCACTAAGGAAAGCAATACTCGAAGAACTTCTCCATAAGCTGTACCTCCTGAGATCCAGATCTTAGGGGAGGGAAGGAATGGTAGACTTCTTCATTTCCCCCTAGTGCTCAGAGCATGCCTCACTTTCTAATTCACTCCCCAGAAAAGCTCTTGAAGGCTAGCTCTGATTTTGATCTGTGTGTGTGTGTGTGTGTGTGTGTGTGTGTATGTGTATGTGTGTGTGTATCTCTGTGTCTCTGTGTGTGTGCGCATGCATACATGTGTGTATGTGCACGTGCATTCATACACACGTGTGTGTGTGTGTACACAGTGATCCAATCCCCTTCTTCCTTTTTTAAGTATCTACTTCGCCCTCTTGCTAGTTATAGCCCTGACATGGGCTTCCCCTTTGGAAATCTCATCTCGCTCTTACCTCTCCCTGGAGGAGTGGTAGACTGGTATGTGCTGGTTTGGTTTAAGCTTCTTTGTCACAGCAGAAGGTTCAAGGGGTTGGGGTGGGGGTGGGATTTGGTAGTATGGGGTAGTTATTGGGAAGCAATAGCAAAATGGGGGGTAAAAAAGGGAAACGTCATCTCAGTTCGTGCTGAGACAGGACTGGCCCAAGTTTACTTAGTTTCAAATAGAAAGCCATATGGGCAGGGTGGACTCAATAAAACTGCTTGTTTATTTTAAATGAATGCCAAGGCTCAGTGAATTGGCTGCAGCTACGCTGACACCTTATTTTACAGGGGAGTCATTAAGGGCCCAGGGAGGGGAAGGCACCTACCCACAGTAGGGCCAGGACTTGAACGTAGGTCCCCTGACTCCAAATCCAGCCCTCTTTCCACTGTATGGTTACCTATCAGTGTTTTAATTGTGACCCTCAAAAGTAATAATTGTCAAAAGTTATCTACCCTTAGCCTCATTTTGCCCACTTAGTGGGAGGTGAAGGGAAGATGCAGTGAGTATTTAATGGACACAATCAGTGTGAACAAGTTCCAAATGATCTGAATGATCACCACCTTTCTCCTGCCCTATAGGCTATGAATACCTCGACTCATGGGCATGCAAATGAGTCGTAAAGAAAATGCCCATGCTCCCAGGATGAAATGGAGCAAAATTGAGGGAGCTCAAACTATTGAATGATGCCAAGTTGAATTAACAGCTGTCCAAATAGCTCCTGCACCCAGTTAACTCTTTATCACCAAATAGACCAAAGAAATTAGGCCTCTGGTAGCCTGCATCTCTCTCAGTTCCTTAAGACTGCTGGAAATGAATAGAATCTCTACTTGTAAGATAAATTATTCAAGTAATTTCCAGTAAATTCAAGTAAGTTACAGAGTAACATATTTGACCAGGCCAAGACTGCTCAGTGAAGGAAAATAAAATGAGAGAATATTTATAAATTCCTTAGCATAGTACTTGCCATAGCCAGCACTATCAAAATGTTAGCTGTCATGATCATTTGTACAAGATAACTTTCTAGCGCCATCTCTTTTTGTCCTACTGCCTTCACTGTCTCCTTTCCGATTTCCTTGGTCTCTTCATAGGATCATAGGAA